TCATGCAGGCTGGATTGATGCTCTTATCCAAGCCCCGAGCTGATGAATTCGGCTCTCCATGGCCGGAACGGGCCAGTGCTGCTGATCAGCGCAAAGGCCAAAAATTCGGCTTGGGCAGCTTAGGCAGGCGGCCACCATGACGCTGGCGCTCGACGGAGGCACTGGTCACACCAGGGGCGCTCCCATGCCAGAGCTTCAAAGACGTCCGTGGACATGTATGGGTTCACCAGGCGCTTCGCCTTCCCATCGGCCTGCTTATGCTGGCACAAGGTGATGCCGTCCTCGACCGTGACATGGGTGCTGGACCTTTCCGTAGCTGCATATCCCTGCGCTCTGGGTGCTGTGTTCCCACCGCGGTGTCCTGGAAGGTCTTGTGCAGCCACTTCCGCATGCCTTGGTCGCGAATGACCTTGTTCAGCTCTGTATCCCTGCGGCTCTCCACGTAGTGGTTGGCATCCTCAATGGACTCACCGGCCAGCAATGCACGGCAAAGGATGCCCAAGAAAGCACCCCGGTGTCGCCCCTTGATACAGTGCACCACGACATTGTCGCCGTGCCAAACAGTGTTCTTGACGGCCGGCCACACGTCTGTCCACTGTTCGTTGCGTTCCTGGCTGTATGCCGCCGCGAAGGTCATCAACTGAGCTCCCGGGAGGGTCACCCCCCCCCGGCTCTCAGGACCATTCGGGAAGCAGCAGATCTGCAACGCTGTCTTGGGGAACTTGTCCACCGTCTGCCTCATTGGAAGTCCTGCCAGGTAGATGCCACCACCCTTCCGGGATGTCCAGATGCAAGTCGGGGCCTGGGCTGTCCCTGAGCCCACACCCAACCGCTCCAAGTGGAGGTCCAAGGTGTCTCCTGCTGCCTTGCCACGGCCTTTCTTTGGCATGGCCTTGATCTGTGGCTTCCCAGGAGCGGCCAAGCGCTTCGGCGTTGTGGTTGTAGCCCTGGACTGCGCAGCTGTGGCCGGTGGCTTGGGTGTAGTAGCGGCAGCCTTCGGAGGTGTCTTGGGGGCTGCAATGGCTGGCGCCTTAGGCGGAGTCTTGGGTGCAGCCTGACCTCGGGCTTTCTTGACAGCTGTGCGCATCACCTCGGCCATCTCGTCGTCAGTGGCACCGCTCGCCGCGGTTCTCTTCCGGCCAAAAGTGGCCTTCTCCCCCACGGCTGCCGGCACCAAGGTGGCCGATGGCTTGGGTGCCGCTGGCACTGCTGTTGCGGCCAACACCGCCCGCTTGATGTTGCAGACGCCTGCGCCGTGCTTGCCACCACATGCCCGTCCTGACTTTTGTAGGATGGCACACAAGTGCACTCCGAAGGGGCAGGAGTCTGCCGGATTCGGGCACTCGTTCGTCTGGAACTCCGGGCAAATGGCCTTACCATTCTTCAAAGTGGCCGTCAGCACCTTGCCATTGAGTTGATCAGGCATCTGAGGTGCCGGTGCGGCTTCGGCCTCTTGCCGGGCTTGCTGTGCCGCTTCAACGAACTGCTGTGACAACTTGAGCCTCTTCTTCACGTCTTGGAAGCTGTGTGCAGAGGCCCAAATAGGTTGGCGGTCTTGTCGCAGCAACCTGTCGGCTTCAGTCAGGCCATGAGCTCGGGCTGCATCTAGCTCTGCCTGCGGGATCGCCTCCCACAGCAGGTTGCTAGCGAGCTTGGCCGTAGCGCCCCAGATCAGGGATGTCACCTTGACCGACGCGGCGTATTTTGCCGAAGAATAGTGAAATGCCATCGCCCCCACCTCTGGTTGCTCACTCTTGTTTTGCCAGTCACCCAGGGCTGCCATTTCTTCAGGCCTGCATCCTAACAACTGGGCCACCGTGGGTGCAAGCCTCCTCCAGCTGTAGGTGGTCAGGTCTTCTGGATTGTCGAGGAACACGGACATTTCCTGTTGCATCGTCTCTTGCACTTCTAGGATCGTCCATGGGCGCCCTTCGTCCGAAAAACAGAGGCCTGCAAGTCTCTGCCTTGCTGGTGCCAGCGTCCTGTATGCCTCCAGCACTTCCTTGGCCCAAAAGAAGCCGTTGGCGAATGTGGCCGGCACCGCAAAGTCGAAACCTTCGCGGGCATGCTTTTGTTTTCCCTTAGGGCACCTGCAATGGAGGAATGCAGCGGTGAGGCGCCGAGGTTCTGACCGCGCAATATGCGCGTACCTCAAACAGCCAAACGACATGATCCAAGGCGCCAGAAGAACTGACCACCTCTCATCGCCGACCGCGTGCAACTCCGTGATGCGATCCTCCAAGGCCTGCACTAAGTTCATCCACTTCAAGGCTTGGAGTGCTCGTGCTGGCGCCTGGGTATGGTTGAGGAACTGATCCAGGTCGACCATTCCAGGAGGAGCGGGTCGCCCCCGACTCTCCAAGAAGGCCCTCAGCTCCAACCAGGTGTTGACCACTCGGTCAATGGTCGCCTTCTCCGCGTCCTTCACCTTCTTCTCGGCGATCCTCTTGCACGTTTGTTTCCATTCGGCCTTGAGGGTGTCTGTCAAGATGCCAGCTGGTTTGTATGCGCCCATTCCGACAAACATCGACACCAAGCCGTTCACCCGCTTTTGGACGGCCTCATCCAGGTTCTTGGTGACGTTGACGGCCTTGGGCTTTTTCTTGTAGATTGTCTTGCGCACAGGGCGCAGAGTGACGGAACCCTTGGGGTTGTCCTCCACGACTTTGGCCCCAGCAGCAAGGAGGTGCTCTTCCACCCTTGCTCTTGTCTGCAGCCAGTCATCCGCTACGTGATGGCCAGCTAGTCCAACGACTTGATCGTAGTCGGTGTAGGCATAGGCGAAGTCGTTGTCGTCCAGGAGGCCTTCATTCTCCCTCCATTGACGCGCCCGCTGTGCAGCTATCATCATCAAGGAGTCGGCTGCTCGCCATCCCGGTTCAGGGTCACCCCCTGACGAGGACGAGGCTGCCGCTTGCGCTGCATAGTAGCCTTTGCCGCCTGATGCCATGGCGCTGCACCCTAACAAGATTGCTAAGGTGCGGAGAGCAAAAAGATGCTGCGGTGACTTCAGAGGTGCCTCCTCTGTCATAAAATCAACCTGCAGCAAACATCTTCTTACGTCCTCCACAAGTGCTGCATGGCTCACGCCAGGTGAAGCAGTCGCTACACATCCCGACGCAGCATGCCCAGCACACGCGCCTGGTGGGGTCTCCGCACTCTGTGCAGGCGGTGCCCAGCTGAAGCATGCCTGCATCCTGGCATTCCAGCCATCCACATAGCGCTCGATGTGCTCTGGCGCCTTCTCTCCCCCAGGCCACCCAGGGTCGCCCCCTAGGTGCTCTGGGGAAATGCCGCGGCTCGAGGAAGACCGGCAGGAGCTCGTGAGGGCCTGTGCATCTGAACCAGCTCCTCCATTGATCGAACAGCTCCCCCAAGCCCAGTTGCCCAGCGTCGCCCGCTGAGCACCTGAGCTGCAACCCGTAGAGATCCTGGGGCACGATGTCAGCGGCCACTTTGAGCTTCGTGTAGGCGGCGACCAGCAGCAGGTCCATTGGGTCCTGGTGCTGGTAGTAGTACGCCCAAGCATCCGCAGGCGCCACATCGTCGGGCAACACAACGCCACGGCTGTTCCACAAGCCGAGCCACGGGAACTTGAACCCCCCCACATGAGCTGCGCAACGCTGGCAGTCATCAAGGCAACAGGGTAGTTTCGGCAGAGGGGGGAAAAGTTCTGAATCTGTCCCAGTCGTGATGACGTAGGGGGAATGCAACACTTCAATACCATGCATCCAGCATGTGTATGCTGCAGCATCAGAGCCCTCCCGCGCCAGCCTTTCCACGTGGCTCTTGAACTCCAGGAAAGCAGCAGCATGAAGGATCTTCGCCTCAGTGGCTGCCGGGATATCGATTCCTGGGAGTTTGCGCTGCATACAAGGTCGCCCCTTGTAGATAGTTTGAACCACCCAATCAAGGTCTGGAAAGGTCACCCCTTACCAAGACCAAGAAAGAAAACAGCAATGAATGCTATTTTGGTTCAAGTTTACTTGAGCCAAAATGATAGCATTCATTGAAACACTTAAAGATGATACATGCACACCCAAGCCTGCCAAACTCAATGCATGGGTATATATATACATAATACATATATATATGTATATGTATAAATAATATATATATGTATATATGTAATGTATATATATATATATATATATGTATATATGTAATATATATATATATGTATAAATAATATATATATATATATGTATAAATAACATATTTAATGTATATATATATATATTATTCTTTTCTTTTATCCCTGAATCCAATGGATTTCAATGGAACATCCACCCCTGGGCCCCTGAATCAAACTGCGAAAAGGATTTTCCATTGGAAACGCAGAGGAAATGACAGGACATGAGCGTCAATTTCAATCTCCTCTGCAGCCAGGAGGCCCCATGCTACCGCCGCTTGAATTGATACCTTAGGGTTCTGGGTGTTCGTTATTTATGTACATCCTATGCCGCGCACACACTTACACACACACACACACCAGATATTTATATATACACACACACATATATATATATAATATACATACACATGCACACCAGATATAAATATAAATATATATATATATATATTTGCAAACGCGTGTGCAATAAAAAACAATATGTATCTAATATTAAATGCATGTAGATACGCCACATGTATATATACACCATGTAAAAATATACTGTAATCATACACCATATTATGGGGCTATATAAAGACCCGGTATCTTTTTAAATGACCCAACATCACGTTATCGTTTTTACTTTTTTGCTCTTATCGATTTCTCAGGTGGTGAGCTCCCTGTAGACAATAAGTGTGAATTTTCCAGCTTTCTGTTGGTGAGAGCATCCTTGGTCAACCAACATTCCATTAACATTCCATGAAAATCCAATCCAAATCCAATCAAAATTTCATTGAAATCACACTATATTAAACCATCAACATGTCATATATGTCATTGAACCCCCATGAAAAAATCCCATGAAAAACAGTCTCTTAGAATCCCCTCATGCGGATGGTAAAAATTCTTGGCTTTCCCTCATGGCTGCCACGTCACTAGAGCCACTGATGCCGGAGCTATCCCCCTCTGAGGCGCTGCTGCCGCTGCGACCGCCCCGCTTGCGTGTCTCCAGGTTCTGCCGTTTCACCTAGGACCCACAGCGAGTCCGGGGCGGGTTCTTTAAGCATCCAACATCAGCCTGACACATGGGATCAACTGCAGGTTTGCACTTTGTGGAATCAAACATTGGAGAAGCTGTGGAAACATCATGGTTTTATCCATGACAAATGGGGCATTTGTGGTTCATCCGTCAAACAACACGGAAAAAGGGGGCAAACTTGGATTTTGCCATGAAACATTGGAACACATGTGGGTTTCGAAATGAACAATGGTGATATGACGTGGTGTAAATCAACAAAATTGTCGAAAGGAACCACTGACTAGAAACCTACGTTTTTTTCCCATCCGAACGACGTTCTGTAAACCAAGTCTGGGAAAGAAAGAGCTACCCCCCAGAATCGAAACAACTGGAAAAGGGATTACATATGATATATGTTTATCTTCCAGGCTGACACTGAACCAAAGACTCCAGAAAATGTCATGACGTATGATGAATTGATGAAGTATATGGTCTTGTAGCCGAGACTGAAGCACATAGGATCACAGACATGCAGTAGCTAGTAAAAGTTCAAACGATCAAATAGGGATCACCCCCCTGGAAAATCCAGAGCCCAGGAGATGATTTCAATATCAGTCTGGCCCTTGGTGTGGATGTTCCCAAAACCCGCGACAGCCTCATGCTCACCTAGGATTCCCCGTGAGCCAAGCTGCCGCTTTTTTGAAGATTTTTGTCAACGAGTCTAACCTCTCCTGTGGGTGCAGTTTGCAACTTGGCACATGGATACCCTTGTCCAACTAGATAGTTCATACAGGATGAACCATCAGGGTTTACCAAGTTCACGAAATCCCCCTAAAATCTAGCTAGGAATTGGAGGGCCAAATAAACTCACCAGAATTAGCTAGAATGCGGTGAGCCCAATGTCATAAACTATCCCCAAGTCATCACCAATTCTATGGCTTCTATAAATCATTGCGAAATGGTAGGTTTATGGCATTGGGTTTCCCACATTACAGGGGTTAATAACCCGCAATTACCTAATATGATATATCTACCACCAGCCCTAGTTATTGGAGTTATAAACTCCACTAGTAACAACTATAAACATCATAATAATGATCATAATGGTCGGATACTCTTGTTATTACTGTCAATATGATTGTTATTCTTATTATTCTTATTTTTTACAATGGTTATTATTATTATTACTACTGTTATTATATTTTGTAATTGTTATTATTAAAGTGATGATAATTAACATCATAATACCAATAACTTGCCACTAATAACAATGATATACCCTCCGGTAAACTAACATAGCTGTTGAAAATGGCCCATTTATAGTTGATTTTCCCATTAAAAATGGTGATTTTCCATAGTTATGTAACAGTTTACCAGAGGGTAACAATAATCGTCAATAACACCACTGGCACTTCCAAGATCTGCCCTTGCCTCAATGGAATTGGATTGGGCCACCTCCTCTTCCGGCCAGGGCATATTGGGTGACGTGGAGCCCCCAAATCCTCGGTGGCCAACGGCCAACGTTGGATCAACGGTGGTCCCAGTGGTGGATCCATGGTGGTCCCAGTGGGGAATCCCATGATGTTTCTATATGTTGTAGAGGTGAAAAACCCAAAACATGCCATCCCTGTGATGGTATCACAAGCAACATGCTAGGATGAATGGATTCTCAATGGATCCGCTACGAATTGCCAGGGGGTTCTTGGAGAGTGCAAGTGGGGTGAGGTAGACCCAAAGAGCCACCAGGGATAGCCGCACAGTTTTTGCACTTTCAACAGCTGCAGCAAACACCTTCCCGCAAGCCCAGCACTCCAAAAAAAGTGCCAAAAACGGTTCTTCGCCAGGGATCTGTGGATGCTATCTTCGTAGGTGGGATACAGATTCGCAGGCTCCAAAATCTGTATGCCGCCCGGTAGGCCGATGTCACCCTCAGCAAACTCCATGCGCTTCTCCAAATGCAGCCCTTGAACGAATCTGCGGAAGACCTTCTGGCCTCGCCACACGGTGGGGTCTTGGGGCGCTCCAAACCTATCTTCAGTGGATCGGTTTGTTGGCAAAATCTTAACTGGGAACCATGGTTTTTGCACCAACATATCAGGTTTTCCTGCCACTTTCCTTATCATTTAAGTTGGGATAACCATGGATAGCTAACGAACTGTTATTCATGGATAGTAACCATATCTAAGTAGACAATGGCTTGCTAACTATGTTGTAACTAAGTTAAAAGCCCGGTACACATCAGTAGCATGTTCATAGCTTCGAGCCATCCAAGTGGTGATGGTGATGGCCTAACCCCACTATTAAAAGTATCCTTCAAGAACCCAGCAAACATGCTGTATTTACTGCCAAACACGTCCGAACATCTCCAAAGTCTGCGGCTTTCACGGCAAAATTCACCGGCAGCTCCAGCTCTTTTTTATTCTTTTTTCAGGCTCTTTTTTCAGGTTTCACCTCATTTTTAAACCCACCTTTGACCGATCCCATTGTGCCATGCCCCCATGGATCCCATGGCCCCCATGGCTCTGATGAATCCCAGCTTCGAATGCGCAGCATGGAGTTGCAAATGATGGCCATCCGATTCAACCGAGCCCGGCCCAGCACCTGAGACGAGTTAAAAGCGAAGCGCCGCAACGCGCTAAGGGACATGGCCATCATTGGGACATGGGATACTAAGGGCATAGAGTATTTAAATGTATTTTAACATCACTGGATGCATGCTTCTTTTATTATATATATATATGCATGCCTTGCATATTTTCTTTTTTTGATATGATTGGATCTAATTTATGTATGTGATATGATGTGTATAACCTAGGTGAATTTGAACCGCCATGTGGATCCAAGTCTCTGCAGGTTGAAGACTCGATCTTTCCTTTTTTTTTGCGGCGTTCTGCAAGTAACATGATCCCAGATTCCAACTCTAACCCTTTCATGGCTTCCATTTTTGTGTTTCCATAATTTTCCAGCTGGATCAACCGTTTTTGCGGATAGTTTGATCCCAATCTGGTCACTTCGTTTGTTACTTAGTCAGTCAGCCAACCAGGCAGTCGGGCAGTCAGTTGCATAGTTGCTAAATTAGTTGATTTACCCCTGTCACATCTATCACTTTTGATTTTAGGAACCTAAATTGGAGGTACCTACCATATACAAGGCCAACAAAAATGATCTAAATTTCAGGGACTATCCCCTGAAATTCCCATTGATCTATCACTTCTGAATGGTTAGTTTCACCATTTTTGATAAGTAAATCATCATAAATCCTCTAAACATGGACCATTTTCCATAGCTATGTTAGTCATAGCCAGAGCGGCGGTGCCATAGACCATCGCATAGGCGGTGATCAGCTGCGCGATGAGCAGATTGAAAAGGAACATCACCACCAAGACCTGGCAGAAACATGGGATTCACCGAGGAATCCCAGACACGAAAAATTGTGGTTGAATATGGTGGTTGAATATATATATATATTTTTGATATGGTTTGGTATTGTTCAGCCTGAGTTAAATGAGTTCGTATGGCACTTGGACATCGCTTGGATAAACTTGATGGGGATTAAAGATTGGTGAAGGCAAGGGGCGATGAAAGCAACACACATCGCCATGAGCCAGCGTGACCTCAACATCTCGACATGCACCGGGGAAGGCACGGTGGAAGAGTTTGGAAGACTTCAGGATTTTTGCACAATGACAAACTGGTTGGTGGTTGAGCCCTACCCCTCTGAAAAGTATGAGTTCGTTAGTTGGGATGATAAAAATCGCAAGATATGGAACATTATGGAACAATAATAAATGTTCCAAACCACCAACCAGCATAGATACAAATAGAAGATTGCAATAGATTACACGAGGATCTAAATATAAAACATGGATGAACATGAGGGAAATTGTGGATCAAAAAGAGAGACATGGTGGATGGTGGGAATGTTGCTGACAAGCCTGGTACAAACAGTACGCCAGGGGGGATGCCAGCGCTCCCAACATTGCCATTATCTTCCCGCCGGGGCTCTGCTCCAAATAGATGAACTTCTCTTGTGCGTACATCCTGAGGACCCACTGATTTGCTGTGGATTCACCCAGGGGCACCCTGGTGTTTTTCAAGTGCGGCTTCAGGCAACACTACCGCGGCTGCCGGCGAGGCTCCCCACGCTGATCTGGAAGAGCGTCAGCATGGCCGTGGTCGGCATGCGAAAGTCCGCCGTGGTGTCCGACAGTGTGATGGCGGTGCCGAAGACCAGCACCAGGAACAGCGCGGCCAGGAGGGACCTGGAACGGCCGCTGGGGACCAAAGATATGTGGCAAACAAATGCAAAAAAATGGGAAGATCCTGATGGTAACCGTGGTAACCATGAGCAAACATCTGGAAAACCAAGGTTTTGGAGGATGTTTTGATTGAACAACTGCCACTTTTTTTTTTTTCCGGATCATATGTTTCAATGTCAGGGATGCGGCGGTCCCAGTCCCCAATCACACTATTTTCGAATGCCGGATCCTGCGTCCCGTAAGGAACACTGGAGAAATCCCCGGTGCCGAAGTTGGCTTTAAATCCCATGGTTGCGGGGTTAGTTTGATTACTTTGATCATTGCATTGCCAATGTTAGATACATTCCTATCTACAGCAACACATGAAAGGATTAAACTAATTTAAACATCCCATCCAGTTGGTTGAGATTGTGAGGCTGGAATCCCCCAGTTCCCAGCGCGTCTCGCCGCTTCGCCCGGTCACAAGACCAGCTGTGGCAACACCCGGCCAGCCAACAGTACAAAGGCGGACAAACGTACGAAGAGGGCACTGAAGTCCACCAGGAGGGTAAAGTAGCAAAACCTCAGGGGGATGGCTTTGGACCTAGAAGGAAGCCATGGTAAAGATGGCATTAGTTTCCGGGGATGGATAACTAAGGATGACTCACCACAATGGATAACCATCCTTATCTAAACCATGGTAAAGCGAACAAAAAATGTTAGAACATGTATGGTAATACGATGTATAATAATGGTGGTAGAGCAATCCTTAGGGGGAAAATAAACCATGAAAACAATGGTGGGAAACCCATATCCGTATTAATGTATATGATATAATGCGGGTAAAGCAGATCGTAAGTCTTTAGCCTTATCACATCTTATGAATGTGGGCAAACCATGGTCAAGCCATCCCTGATTTCACTTGGTTGGTTTTATTTGGACAACCCTGGTTTTCCTGCGTTTTCCCCGAGAAACCGATTCTGGGACAATGTGCCTATACAAATCCAATTATGAGACTTAATTTGGTAACTATTAATAGCAAAGCAAGAGGGTGAAACCAGGGGACGGTACTTGGGGGTGCGTCCCAAACACCTTACATAATTGGTTAATAGCAATGTTTTATTGGGTCAAAAGGGCGTTCATTCGCAAACCCCGAGCTCGGAGCAAAACTTGAGATTTTGTGACCGCGAAGAAATGGGAACCGCTAATATTGAGGCGGTTCTAATCCATAAGGTTCCTAATCCTGGACCTAGATGGTTGCTTACTTAATTTCTTTTTTGTTTTATGCTGGTTGGTGCTATACCTATATACCCCTCTGAAAAATATGAAAGTCAGTCGGGATGATTATTCCCAAAATACGGAAAAATAAAACATGTTCAAAACCACCAACCAGTATGTTTCCAATGCTTCTCACTTTTCTATTCCTATGGGGATTTAACATGATTCAACCACCTCAGTGACCAGCCCAAATGGGGTGGTTTTTACCACCTTCAAGGCCCAGTAACATCCCCAGCATCGATAGGATGGAATAGAAGTCCTGCACGCCATCAGCCTGGAGATTCTCTGAGGCCAGGAGAACGCCCCCCCCGAAAAAAAATGATGCTGCCTTGGAGGAAGGCCCCATCTTGTTGGGAAAAATGGCCGCAAGTCTACCTATATGCTGTAGTAAACATTTGGAGGGCCAATTTCTCTTCCGCAGCTAACCACACACTCCGAGAAAAGTAGGGTGATCGTCGATGGAACTTTTCCAGTGGCAGCTTACTGAATTCCGCGAATGCTACCTGGGGTCTTCAACCGTTTGCTGGACGATATTTAGTCGCTTTCTCCAATAGAAACATCATCTTCCAAGAGAAAATCCCGCTCATGCTTGGTGATATCCTACACGTTCCATCCTAAACGGCGAAGCGAAAAACACATATCAAAACATCTTCCTCTTTTGGTATCAAGCAACCAATTAACCAATCCCTCACTGGGTTTGTGTACGGGATTGTACGGGGAATTTCCACAGGAAAAAGCTTATCCATGTTTGGGATTCAGCACAGTTTTACCAATTTTGATGGGTTTGGGGGAAATCCAGCAGAAAACCTCGGGGGTTTATACACAAATTGTAGGGTTTCCAACGGGTTCCCTGCCGCCGCGCCATGTTCAGCCACCCGGACGCACCTGCGGGCAGCTGGAGGTGAACTGCCCTGCTCCATGGAAGTCACCTTCGAAGTGTTGGAGGCAGTACCTGCGGCATGGTGTAGCCATGGGGTTTGAAATCCAGGGGCTGATTTTCTACCAGTAATAGTGGGAATTTCAATATTTCGATAGATTCATAATTGTTTGGGGTTTCTACTTTCCATTTTCCTATGTTTAATAATGGGGAATAACCCATGGGGTTAGTAATATGGAGTAATGTGGCTTAGATGGCTTAGAAAGATGGGATTTTCAGTTTCTATTAGAAACCCCTATAGAAATAGCCACTCAATAGAGCTATAGATTTCTATTCGTCACAAGTAATGGCATGGTAGCTATTTCTATAGCGGGGTGCAGGCCAGGGGTTTATGGTGAACTGTTGGCCATTTCTTAGTGGACCTGCACCCCCAAGTGGCTTATGGTATCACGCTACATCACACATTTTTTGGGGTATATAGATGATGCAGCTACTTATGAATAGAGTAGAAACATGGGAAATCACTTTGATGCTTTTAAGCATGGTGCCATGATGGGGTAGTGGTTCGTGTGACCCTTTGAGACTCGGCTTTGAAACTTGGTTTGAGGGAAGATTCACAGGAATCATCCAGGACACATAAGAAATCCCCAAAGATAAACAAATATGGGGTGATCCAAACAAATCGCTACAGAAAACAAAAGGGTTTTCCGTAGATTTTCCCAAAGTATTGAAACATGTTTGACTCACTACCTTCCAGTGCTTCGAAACAATTTCGGAAATAAGGATAAATAAGGCTTGCTATGACCTGCAGTTTTGATCAGTTTTGTGCCCGGAAAAGCAAGCATCTCATGAGAACCTTCCATCGCCAAACTACTGGTACTATCTGGCGCTCCTTTTGCTGATAGATCTGCAAGCTTTTGAGAGCATATTTAGAACAAGCAAATGCCACATATCGTAGCTACTGTGGAAAGATCATCATCGTTTTCCATCCTTCAGACCTGGCTAACCCCACAACCCCGGTACAAGATGGGCTCCACCATGAACATGCAGATCCTGGGCGTGACGTTGCGTCGCGTGACGTCACGCTCGCTTGAGGGCGACTTTCACCACAACGAAAAACTCCGGAGAGAAATATGGGTCAATAATGGCCAATATATGATATCTATTGATATCTTAGATACCATACCATACATATATTTTTTGACTGGTCAGCATGTACTTTCGTCAAGTCTGAGAGATTCGTTAGTACTAGTTGCTAGCCATCCGAGGTTTACTGTACTCAAGTGGGAGGCTTGCAACTTTTTGCGACAAGATCCAGTTGCTACGTTATCTTCCCATTCCCATGCCATTGGTTAGCCCGATGGTAGACCCAACAAGTCTTCCATGTGAGGATGGTTTAGTTCTATCCCACCTGGGATGCGGTGGTGGAAATCACCATATTGCCATAGTTTTTGGCCGTATTCCCATTTTCTTCCCATCAGAATTCCATCATATTCCAACCATATTCAGCTCTCTTATACACACACACATATATATATATTCCCATCATATTCCCATTCTCTTTGTAGCACCATTCTGATGTACCTGGCATGCCTCATATATCGCCATCCATCCCACTGTCGAGGTGCAAGATCAGGGTCAACAGAAGGCTCACCGCCTCCTTAGCGCAGCCCGTTGGTGATGTGAAGGGCCCCCCTGGTGAAAATCAGCTTCACTGGATGGCTTTAAGCGACATCTTACAGGAAAACCATGGAAAACCCTGACATGTCATCGGAAAATCCATGGTTTCCGGCGATGGTGAAAACTGTTTGGTGATCTCTGGTGCTGTTGTATTTCCTATTTATATACATTCGACAAACTTGCTGGTTTTGCATGGTTTCATGAGGTTTGTCAAGGTGGATCTGCTCCAAAATTTGCTCCTCAAGCCCGAACTGTTGGAGGCTCGCCTTCTGCCGAGGTGCTTGCCAGTCAGTGATCCATTTGCGGGGCAGGGGTATTTGGCAGACACGTGTGATATCACCTGCCATAGCGCGAAACTGGCGTGGCAGCCCGTCCCAGAAGCATACATCAATGGACTGGTTGAAGGGAAAATCTGCAAAGAAATCACCGTTTTTACGTGTTTTTTTACCAGCAATTATAGGGCTTTGCCCTACATTTTCCCACACAATGCTGTGAACCGAAGTCAGGATGTGGCTTGTTGATTCAACCCATGCCGAACGTTGTTCAGCACTTCCCACTTAGATGTAAGGTTGGTGTAAAGCTTACTATGGCTCACCAGACAGAAAGTCAAACATTTTAAAGCCACCAGCCAGGGCAAAGACAAAATATATCACCAGAATAAAATATAAAATATAGCTGAAGTTGGCCTCACCATGTTGTTTTTTTGACTCTCAGTACTACTATTACCAGGTACCATCAACATTGTCATCAGGATTGTCATCATTACCATGGAAACTGCCATCATTCTTATCATTATCACCGGCTTTTCTTTCGGCTCTATCAATTGTCCTCTGGTAACCATGGCTTGTTGGAAAATCCTGTAGTTCCTTGATTTTTTCCATTCAAATCCATCTTAAAATCCATATTTCCATGGATTTCCATGGATTTCCATGGATTTCCATGGATTTCCCATGGATTTCCCATGGATTTCCGCTGGATTTCCCAGGGTTTCGTGGATCTTTCGGCGCCTGTTTTGATGGCCATAATGGCCACCCGACTCCGCGCATAGATCAACTCCACCATCCCCGCCAGATAGACGAAACATCGACAGACGAAGGTGGCCACGTTGAGGCTCTGAATCTTCGCATCTTCCTGTGGAAAATTGTCTGGTTCTATGAGTTTTTTTACTTGTTATTTCTATGGGGTTAGAGTTATAAGCTGGTTATAAATATGGTTATACACTCTATAAATGGGGTTTTGTTAGTGCTTAAAACACTATAACTGGTATTTCGGGCCAGAAGTGTGTGGACAATGACTGGTTCTAAACGTAGGGAATGGGAATGGGATGGAGTGATCTATCACAAATTACTGGATGAAAATTACTGCTCCCATTCCCATTCATGTTTGCACATTGCTAAACGTAGGGGATGGGATGGAATGATCTATAATATTTTATAATAAAAACTATTAACAATCATCCCGTTCCCCCATTCCCTACTAAGCACCAGTGAAATGTCGCTGGAGAAAAACATGAATCTTGTTTTGTAATTTTTACTTGGCGCACACACACAGAGGCGCACATATATTGCGAATATGGTTGTTTTTATAATGCAATATGTGTACATGCACATAACTGTATGTATAAGTATATATAAATATATATCATTTATAATTATCCGATTTGATGCGGTTGAAGAAGGTCAGTGAACAATATTAATCTTCATCATCATCCCATCTTTTGAGGAGAAAATTTGATTGTTGCTAGGTGAGGAGCATTGATCTTTTTTCAGCAATATGTCCCAAAGATATCAAAGATGGGACACATCTAGACCAGCATCCTTAGACAAGCTTTCAAGGCAGCGATCGATTGCACAGAATGGCTCTCCAAACAACCCCCAGCCGATGAGGGAAGGGGGCAGCCAAGGCTCAGATTGGAACCAACTCTTCAGAATCGACTGACTGAAGAGGAAGACCAACAAGGAGAACAAGAGCCACACTTTGCTCAGCATGAAGGGCAAATAAACTACCTGGGCAGTTGGTGATCGTTGTGTGTTTGCCTTCGCCTCAACAGGCATAGTCCCAATTTTCAGGACGTTTGATTAATATGCTACCTTTCATGTATGTCTCGCACAATTTGAACCTCCGTTGATGGTAGAGCCGGTCTCCCCTGTGAGTCATGGCGGGAGGCTTTCCCAGTTGTGGCTTTTCAGTGGCCAAACAAGCCAATGGTCATGGCGACACCAACCATGCTTAGCTGTTTCCAAAGCTTCTTGCTGGTTTTCCCGATAAGGCAGTTGAGACCATGATATCCCGGCAACTGTTGTGACTGGGAACATTACAAGCAACTTATGGCATTCTTCCCCTTACTGTAAACCCTGACTACCAATTGGGGGATTACCCTCAAAACAAGTTCTAAATAATTATTCAAATGGGTACCACCATTCATAATTGCAAAACTGGCGGTCTAGCTGGTTTGGCAAAATCCAGGGTTGACATTAGCAGTCATCATTTCCATCAATTTAATCATGGGTTAACATAGAAAGTCATACGGATGAACACTTGTTATATATGGTTATTCATATCATATAAGGGGGATATCATGGAATTCATTTCCATTCATTTCCGGTGTGAGGTTGGCCAGTAAGATCGCCCAAAACTTAATCCCTCGCATCCATCTTCGTCCACCCCTGGAAGCCCGCCCCGAGCCACCTTGTTCCACACCAAATCTGTGAGCGTCTCTAAAACCACGTGAGTGACGATGGTGGGATCCTGTGGGCGCCGGGTTTTTGCTTCGAAAACATCAATGCCTGGTTTTTGCAGCAACCCATGAACCACAAAGACAAGCGTTTTTTGGGATTTGAAGACTTTGAAAAACCCCATGGATCCATGGATCTGGGAAGCTAAGCGCCAAATTGGACCAACTTCGAACTAGACACCTCTTGGAGGACATTTAGGGCCACTAACATGGCTGCTTGATCTCACCGGCCCAATTTTGCAAAGCTGAGACAAAAAGCTGACCCGTTTTTCAATCCTGGAGGTTCTGAATCCAGTACATGGCATCTGCAAAGTTTGCATCTTTGTCGATGACCTCAGCTCTGTACAGGTAGGATGAGCCCGGGAAAAAGCCCCGAGGTGCATCGAGGTGCCATGAGTCAACTCTTTGTGAAGATCCGAACCTTAACCACCGGGACCTTCGTAAATCTTCGTAACGAAGCATGCAAACTTAAGATGCCAAAACCAACACAAGCCAAACCAACCAAGCCTCTTTGACCCTTGTGAGCCCTTGTGCCTAACACGAGCAACCCGAATCCTTGGTTATTTCATCGAGCGACCAAATGCTCCAAGTAGATGTTCACTCTCCGGAAACCCGCGACCACCACGCGAGATCGCCAGATGAGACGATCCAGCAAGACCTAAAATGGTGGAACGACAACCTATTGGAAAATCAATCAAAATCCATAAAAATCCATCAATTCATGGTTGGTTTTCAGTTTAGGATCTACAGCCATATACTTTATAGCCATTTAATCATATTTAATCTACAAAATGACTGTAAATCGACAAACACTTGGGAATCTACAACCCCAAAATTGGGTTTTAACATGTTTTAAATAAACAAGAACCATATCGAAACGCGCAGATCCTATGAAACAACTGAACACAACAACAACAACATTTTTGACCAATCGGTTGGAGACATCCCGGCATTTGTAGGTCCAAGAGAATTACCACTGCGCTGGTCTCTCCTGCAGTTTAAGCAGGTAGAGATATGTCATGATATGGTAAAACTGTGCAAAACCAATAATCAACCAGCCCGATATTGCCAGAAATGATTGCTCTAAAGTCTAAAGCCCCCAAAATTGGTGAAGACATGTTAATAACCATGAATGTGGCAGAAAACAAATGCTGTTTTTGCAGCTAGCATTTGGGGATGATGTCCTCCTTCAGCACCAAGTTCGGTGGCACCCATCGCCAGAAGTTCCACGCCGTTCCTACCAGGTTGCCCTCAACAAGATGGGAGCCTCAGATGTAATCACCTGGGTCCAGTGACAGTGATGAGGTGTGCAACAGGTGGCTGTTAGGTTGATGGTGAGTGGTGAAACATGGATAAACCATGATAACACCCCCTTGCAAATCTTGCCATTGTAATAGACAAACGATTCTCAAATCCCTGGGAATTGATGCATTGGGAGTGCCAATAAGAACCCAACAAACCATTGACCAACAAGAATGGCTTTGGGGGGAAGAAATCGGATAAAAATCACCAGGAAACTGCACCCCCCGCCTGTATGAAGTCGGGATGTCGCAAGAACAGGTCATCCACTCCATAGTAGTATCCTGAGCCACCAAATGAGTGTCCACTGAAACACCTGTGCCTTCCGAAAGACCTGGCTGATTGATGGGGGTTCCAAAGGGCTTCGGTTCCAATATTAGTATGGTCCATAGTCCCCATTGAACTGGTGCCTGTAACTGGCAAATCCATTGGCCAATGGTGGTTTTGAGCACTGCTCAAAAGACTCAGAAGCAAATGGCTGCAGCGAAAAAGGGAGACTCCTCACTCCTCAAAGAAAGTCACGGCCTTCATGTCTCGTGAAATTTTGGTACAGACTACACGTTTAGGCGCGGCTCATTGGGGATCCTGTCACACCAACAAAAAAACAAAACATCAGAAGCTCCTTGGTAGTTCAACTCCGTGCAAAATACACGTCCGTTGTATTGTTATCATTGGAGATCATCGTCCCGCATTGGAAAACGAAAACTGTTTGACACCAGCGGATATTAGTGGTCGTATCTCCGTTTTTCCGAGTTTCGTTGGTGAAATCCGATTTTATGGTTTAAAATTCCTCTGAATTGAAGATTGAATTAGATTTTTCCTTCGTACTTTCTGTACCTCTTTGCTGATCAACTCTGGTTTTTCATTCTCTCACACGGACGAGTCTCGGTCACGGTCTGCACGGAAGGTCAGCAGATCTTCAATGATGGCCTTGGCCAAGCAATATTTCTGGACATATATTATATGGAAATATATGGAAATCCCTGGTGGTAGAATAGGATTTAGGATTTACCTTTGAAAAAAGGTGAATTAATGTTTTTTGATGGGATTTTCATGTGATATTAATATATATATATGTATATAATTATATATAATGGATAACCAATGGATAATTGATGGATATAATTGGATATACCCTCCGGTGTCATCAAACAAGCTGGGAAATCTCTTACAAATGGAGGTCTATAAATGAAAGACTTTCCAGCATGCCACGTTTCATGAGACCGGAGGGTAGAAAGAATTTCTCTGGTTGGTGCTTGAAAAACCGTGCAATTTATACAGGTCTGGCTTCAAAATCAGCATCCCAAACAATAACCAATGGTCTGTAGTCATGTTACCCACCAGAACTGCCATAAAATGCTGTAGACCCGACCTTCAGACACAGCCAAATATCATATGGTTGGTTATGTATCTCAACATGTCTGCAACAATGATCCCACGATATGCCCATAAAATGGTGAATGTTGCATCCCCAAAAACACATTTACCCCCAAGCTACTGCCCTTGAAAGTTCCTTCCCTGGTCTGCATTTTTGCGACGAACCAAGGGGCTTTGGCTGCCTCGATGCTACCGCTTTGAATGGACCAAAGTAATGGTGAGATGGACTGAGTTCCAACCTCCGCTTCGCAACAGCAAGGGCAGCTATGGCAAGGGAGCACCAAGAAGCGAAGAACATGGGGGGGGTTCACCGGGATGTGCTAAGAGACATGGGAAATTGTGAGCCGAACTCTCAAAGACTTGGACTATTTCACCCCGGAGACCATTTGGGGTTATGCGCATCAAAGAATGGCCCGGTTGGGAGAGGACAGTGCAAGAGAGGCTGCGCAGGCTGGTCGAATCAACCAGCTGGGCAACGGTGGAAGCGGGGACAAGGGGTGGCAATCCTTTTCTTTTACGGGTTGCCCTGCTTGCACTGTAACCCTGCTAGTTGGCTTTGTTTGGTACTTGGTTAGCAACCCGGGTTAGTAACTCCGCCAGGTGGACATGACCAATTTCTATGTCTGAGTAATCCTAGATGGTCTATGCACCCATGGTTGCTAGTGACATTGGCGGTAAATCCAAAACATGAATCAACATGAACCCTTCAGTTTACCAAGCATGGGGATTTTTTTTAGAGCATAGCCTTACAGCAAATATATAACAGCAGAATCTCTTCTTGGGAGTCTCCCCCAATTCTACTTATGCTTCCAAAGTGGCATGTGGGAACTAATCATGGTTAGTTCAGTCAGCCACTCGTCTTGTCAATGAGATCCCTGGGCTTTTGGAGATTTTTGGTTGGTCAAATCCCGAAAGTAGGGCTGGTTGGCTTGGAATCCCCTCCCTAATATAAGAAAACCTCACGAGAAACCCTGCTTCAGCATTGGATCTATGGAATCTATGGATTTTGGGCTTCTATTTGTCGGGAAATCTACAAAATCTGGAGCAACGAAAGTGTATTCTGCTGATAAATCGCCACTTCAACTGCCACGCAGCGGCATATCTTCCATCAACCTCTTGAAGAGATTGCTCCGTTGCCAAGGAACCAGTGCCGCCAAATATTTGGAACGATGGAAACCCTGTAGATCACTCAAATGCAGGCAGTTGTTCCCAAGCTTCGACACCTCTGAACTAACCAGAGATTTCATCAAAATACATGCAACTTTAGGGCATGTAGCCACCCAAGTCAAATTGTGGCCAGTCCAACCTCACAATCAGGTGCTTCAGATTTAAGCACATCGCTCCAGCCGACCATCAGTGGTCCCGAACATAGCAGTTCGTCGTACGTGTACAGCGCCCTGAAGATCTGATCATCGGTTCAATCTGACAACGGATTTTTACATACTGAGCTACCATCCAATCATCCAGAAAATCTATGAAAATCTCCCAACAAAAAGGACTCAGCAAGTTCTTCCGGGAGGAATTGTATGCGGCGTTTTGTCAGTAATTGAGGATATAGTATGATTATAGTGAAACTTCATATTTTTGTAGGCTACATGCCCATATCATACCCAGGCTCAGCCAAATCACCATGTTTTGTGCGGAACAAAACACATCATTGTGCTGAACACACGCGCCCAACTTTCTCGGCTTCATCCCAGTTTCTGGTGAACACAGCTTGTTGATATATTAACTCCCAACAAAAAACCCACTTAAAATTGATATGGATTGTTTTTTAAACATGCCCTCTGGTTATGACTAACAGTTCGCCATGGCATAGATGGCCCATAGACATAGATGGTTTACCTGGGTTTACCTATTAAAAATGATCCTTTTTGATCATAGTGAACCACAATCAATGTCCGAAGACCGAGGCACCGTCACCTTCAACATCCAGGTGGCGCGCCGCTTGCGCGGCGCCGCAATTAAGGCGCTCTGGACGTGCTTGGCCGAGTTCATATTGATGGCTTTCCTGAGATTGCACCAAGCAAAAATGGAAAGATGCGGCATTTTTTTTTGCTGTAACATTCCGTAAAATGGTGATTTTATGGTATATTAATGGGATATAATGGGATATCAGTGGGATATCAATAAAATATTAATGGCATATATAAGGTTATGACAAATGGAGATGTAATGGATTATTTGTGGAAGATTCACGGATATCATATAATGGAATGTTGGGGATTGAGGATTTCGGCTTTTAGGATCCATCTTTTCGGAAGCTCAAAAGCACTGGCTGTACTTCGAGTAAGGGAAAGGAAAAACGATTGTGTAGTTGTTGAGGCGGCCTATGTCTATGCATATATGTATACATATGACTGTTTGGAAAGTGGGTAGTAGCATGTACTTACATGTGCTAACCATATTACACGGTCAGTTGCATTTGGATATTCAAATGTAATGGCTCATAAGTTATGAGCCAGTTGCTAACTGGGATGAACATCCAAGTAACCTGGAAGTTCCATGGCTTGAATTGCCATGATTGAGCATACCAGTGGTGCCTGGAATTTACTTGGTGGATTGAAAAGAGCGGCGTTCTTACTGCTTCCAGCTCCATGTGTTCCATGGTTTGCTATTGGGTTTAAGACATGTTCTAAGTTCTAAGAGCATCTTTCAAAAACACAGATGGGTGTTAACCAACAAAGCGTGGCGATGTCATGCATTTTTACCATCCAAGAATGTGAAGGTGACATGCTACAATTTGTCTTAACCTGCAAGCACCAAGAGTTTAACCAGCAAGAATGGAGAGATTAAAGCCCAAGAATGGCGAGTGTGAACATAATCCAGCCAGCCCCTGCCTGTGGACTTTGAGTGGTCACCTTCCCAGTGGAGAATGGGGATTCTCCCCAAAACTCCGTTCCAAAGATTTTCTGAAATAAAATCTCACCTTTTGCTCCCAACCCCTGAAACAAACATCTCTCGGGTGCGAGTTAGAAACTTGATCATTTACCATCAATCATGAGAATATCCTCCGGCAATCAAACATGGCTAGCTGAGAAATCCAGCAAACTACGTGGACATTTAAATGAGAAAATCATCTATAAACGGAGAATTTTCTATTGCCATGTTTGATTACCAGAGAGTAGCCAGGATTGTTCAAACCAAACAATGAATTGAAGACAAAAACTTACCCGGACCATATGAGTCATGATTCTTCGAAGGTCATCGTCGAAATAGGGGAAACATATCTGAAATCACCAGCCATTTTCGTTCGATCTCCCATCTTTACCGCACGTTTCAAAATCACATTATAATCGGATATCAGTTCACTGGGATATCACATTTTTCCTTGATAAAGAAATTCTGGATGGCCAACTGCCAATTTTTCATGGTTCGCCGAAACTGTTGAAGTGGTAAACCCAACAAACCAGCCCCAAGTCATCATCATTTTTATGGGTGCTTAAACTAAGTATAATTAGCCAAATCCCAAATGGTACCCTCCGGTAATTTAACATAGCCATTGAACATGGCCATAGAAGTAGTTGATTTACCCATTCAAAATGGTGAATCTTTCTATAGTTATGGAACACATTCCCAGAGGGTAGGTTTAAGACATTGGCTTCCCCACAGCTTTATTTCACCAACACATCCCACACCGCCCTTTGACACCAGCGACATCACCGGCGTGGAGCCCTCATTGATGGTGCGCACCAGGATACGCGAGACCAATCCCAGGGACCAGCCAAAGGCATCACCTGGCTGCGTGCAACGCGACGTTGCGACCGTTGCGATGTTGCGGGAGATTTGCGACAGGAGACTTTGGGGGAGATGATGGTTGGAATTGGTTGGAACTCTTTGGATGCTTTTCCATGGGTTTCAGTTTTCCAATGGTTTTCCATCGTCTTCCTTCCCCGCGACAAAAGACTTTAAAGAAGGTTTCCCAGATGTTTTGACAATGTTTTGCACTTCTGAGTGAGTTGGTGATTCACAATGATTCACACCCAGGTTCTTCCATGCCATGGTGGCACAGTGGCTCTGTTACTCTACCAATTAGCCCTCTATGCGTCATATACCTATATATTCTACTCATGAATCAGCAAGCAACAGCAGGGACAACAGATTGCTGGTGAAAAAGTGGGGAGTAGCTCCTCGATCGCCGACGCTGCTTGAGTCTCTGGCTCCATCTGGAGATAGGGATCAATAAACATCCAGGCCCATGCTGTCAAGGGACAGAGCTTGTCATTTTGCGTAAACTCTTTCAAAGAGTCGAGGACGCAACTCACGAAGGGACTAAAGAATTCCTTGCTGCGTGGATGGTGGCTGGGGCACCCCATCCAACATGCAAAAGGTGACTTCATCGGGGAATCCCCCCGAAGTGTGGATGTAAACCTTGCCAAGAAACCATTTCAACTGGCTCCATGTTCATGCGCAAAGCGGTCAGATTTACCCTCTGGTTATTTAACATAACCATGGAAAATCCCTTATAAATGGAGGTTTTAATGGGGAAATCATCTATAAATGGGTTAGTCACAACCAGAGGGTACATTTAGTTCCTATCCATTCAAACTATGCCAGATTTCTCGGACTTCCCCGCATGGATCCAGCAGGATCCAGCAGTCGTGCTAGTTCAGAGCATCCTTGGAGTTGCCAACTCGGCGTCCGAACAAGTCAACCATAGTCCCAATGTGAAACCCTGGCTGCCATGCAAACCGACCCTTAAAAAAAGGGGATGGTGAAAAAAACACCTATTTACACCTATTTATGAGAATTTTTGGGATGGTTTGTGAAATTGGGATATCACATTAGATTCACCATGATTCGCCATCTCTGGATATTTCTGGTGGGTGTAAACCATGAGGAAAACAGCAAGCACACCACCAGCGAGCCCAAGTAAAAAACACGTTCTAAACCCACTCTAACCCCATCATGATCCACCAACCAACTGTTCATGGTGAAAAATCATTGGTAAAATTCGGGGTAATCCCATTCAAATCATATAAAAGCATTTCTCCAATTTTTCTCCCCATTTTTCACGCTAAAATTCATCCCATTCCAAGGTGCTGTGGGGATGCCATAGCCCACGTGGCGTAAGCCCAGAGCGCTCATCTCGTCCACCATGCGCGTTGGATCTTTGTACATCTCCACAGTGATCCTGCCAGATTCGATGGGGTGATGAGGTGATGGGGTGATGGAGTTTTTTTTCATGGAAATTTTCATGCGGATTTACCCTCTGGTTGTGACTAATATAGCCATGGAAAATCACCATTTTTAATAGGTAAGCAATCTATTTCCATGGGCAATGGCTACCATGGCTATGTTAAGTAACCAGAGGGTATATGATTTCACCATCAAGAATAGTTTTTTTTGAATTTGGGATTTAATATTTTTTGCACACCCCCAGAAACCATGGTGGATGTAGGGGATGAAACCACTTATTTGGAACCATAGAATGGGGGTGTTTAATATGAATGGGGATGGGATTGATAGATTGTGCTATCTATGTAATCTATATATTTTTTGATCCTGATGGAGATGAACAAATCTTCCTGATTGAGGAGCTATTTTTTACATCTTAATAGATGATCATGGTTCATTTTTAGCGAATCCTATATCTACACCTCCAGTGATCTTTGATGATCTAAATCTTTAAAAACCAGCTTCATGGGCGATTCACAAGAATTCTCGATTGAGCCGAGAACAGTGACGGACCGACCAAAAAACATGTTCACTGGCCATCTCCAACTTTTACCCTGGGAATCCTCAACGTTTTGCGTTTTTTCCATGTTCCAGCCATTTGCCCACTGACTCTGACTCTCTCAGCGCCTGAAAATTTGATCCACGATAAAAAGCAAGCGACTAGAAGACTGTTTGAAATAGTTCCTTGGTTGCGCAAGCCCTTCCATGCCCGCTGCACAGAATCATGCGGGTAAATCTTCTATAAGTGGAAATCATTTAAGGGTCCGCATGAAATTTCGCCGTGGCAATATGGGCAATGAAACCAGCGGCCATCTTTGTTCCAAGATGTTCTACCCAACTAATACCTGAGTTGCAACAGCAAGAAAATCCACCAGCAAACCAACCCTGGACTAGACAGCATTCAAATTTAGCGTTTGGAACTCACAAATGGCAATTTCAACATGTAGAAACTCATCTTGGAAGCATGTTAGCTTCATAATGGTTTCCATCTTGGAGAATTTCACATCCTTTCAATCCTTTTCTTATTATTGTCTCCACCGGCAAGGTAACACCAAGAGTCTGCCCCTCAGGGGCCAGGGCAAAGAACTTGGCGTAGATCATTTTACTCACCTCCTGTCATTCATGGTCAGCCGATGTCGGGGGAGTGACAAATGGGCCAACTACAGACACCCAATCTGGGGTCCCTCGATGTGAATTGATGTGAATGGACGAAGGAACAATAACTGTCAACAGTTTGCTGTGAACAGGGTCATCTCTGTCTTTAACATTGATGAACCTATATATTCATATATGCTAGATGAATTGTGATCTATGTAATCAGTTTGGTGTCCCAGACAAAGGCGGTCATGATGAATGGGGCTGGGATTGAATGCGTGGTTGCATCCCAAGCCTCTTTTCTACATTCTCATTGCCCTTCTCAAGGATTCTAAAGGTATTCTTTTGTTTTTTTTACATATGGGGGTTTCCACAAACGGGGTGCCCAAATAGATGATTTGCAATATTAGAAAATCATATTAAAATGGATGGAAACGGGGTACCCCTATTTTAGGAACCCCCATATTTTAACAACGTTCTGACTGGGGATCTCCCCACCGTCCTCTTTGGTGTTAGCCTCCATGGACCCCACATAGCGGCTCACCAGCCGACTGCGCGGGGCCAACTTTCCTGGGCGAGAAACTCGGCAAAATGCTAAAGCCCTGGGATTCTTGAAGTGAGCGTTGGGGTAAGTGTGAGAGACTAGGTCATAAATAAATAAATGCACAAATAAATACTTAAATAAATAAATAAATAAATAGATAAATAAATCAATAAATAAATCAATAAATAAATAAATAAATAATATATATATATATTTATTTATATATATATATATCAATATAAATAAACATAAGTATAAATATATAATACATTTATCTGAATATAGTATCCTATATGTATATGATCAATGAGATGTCTCTCTCTCTCTCTCTTTCTCTCTCTCCCTCCCTATATACAGTACGCATTCCGTATTATGACAGATCAAACGGCCTCACCATCAGCTGCCCAAGTTTCCGATCTCTTTTTGCAGCACCTTTTCCACGTTGGACCAGAGCCATTCCTGAGGTTGGCCAGCCATGACACTGCCATGGCTATGGAATGGTGAGTTCCAATCTTGAAGGGACCACGCCTGATGTTGGATGATTTCTATTGATTTCTTGGAGGTTTTCAGGCGCCAGGGCCAGATATCAGGCTTCCAGCATGTTACACGAAGTTTCAGCTCGCGATCGCCAAGAAACCCAAGCAGATTCGTGATGCGAGTCCCAACCTTTGGGCACCAGGGACCGCAGGGACGCCAGCATCAAAGGCTTGAACTCAAACAACTGGACTTCTCCTGGCGCTGCGAAGGCGATCGATGGGAAACACTTAGAACCTCTGGATGGCCAGACGCACACGCATATGTACGCATACAGAGAAGAGAGAGAGAGAGAGAGAGAGATAGATAGATAGATAGATAGACAGACGGATAGACAGACAGATAGATAGATAGATCCCTCTGGGGCGGACGTTTGCCCAAAGTTTCATTGAGGGTTTAGCTACTTTAGGATTACTTAGGGTTGGTTTGGGGCTCTGTCAGGTTTGGTTTGGGGTTTGGTTTCGGGCATCTTTAGGGTTATTTTGGGTTCGTTTAGTTTAGTGCTTTTTTTGCTGTCCAGGGTTGTTTTAGAGTTTATTAAGGGTCGCTTTTGGGGGATTCAGGGTTTACTTATGATTTATTTGGTTGATTTGGGGTTTGTTTCAGGTTGGGTTATTTTGGGATTTGCTATGGTTTTACCGTTTGTTAGAGATTTTAGTTCAAGGCTCGAAAGACCGCAAATTTCGGAGAATATGTTTAAGACATGGTTCGAAAGGTGATTTTTGGCACCGCCTTAGGTAAGCGCCAAAATGCGAGGAGACGCAGGCAATATCCATGTTTTACATGTTGTCAGTTCGCAAAACAAAAAGCTCCGGAGCAACACAGAAATTGCAGTCCCGCATGGAATTCTGTCGGTTTCGGGCAAAAGTCAGCCCCCTAGCTATATATATATATCTCTCTCTCTATATGTGTATATATATATACCTATGTCTATGTATAGATATAGATAGATGCAGTAGATGTAGGTAAGTGTAAGGCGACAGCACCAAGATCGGCGCTTGATCAGTTTTTGGCAACGACAATGGCATGCCTGAAGGAAGTGTTTTTAAACTTCTTGGGACTTAACATCAAGGAATGATTGAGAAAACAGGAGCTCCGCGGATCATGGTGGTGTCGCATGGCATGTAGGTAGATAACGGATGCCTGTTAATGTGGTCACATGCATCTAACATGTCCGAATGCGAAAACGCTTGCTCTCACACACGCACACTCATGTATACAGCATGATGTTCTCTGGTCTGCTAGCTGCTTTGGAGAAAGCAACAGTTTTCCGAACGAACCATCAAGCGATTGAAACAATGCAGATCAGCAATGAAATACAATTGAAATGACAAGCAGGAGAAACTTTGAACATCTGGCCCAGGTTCATTGAATGTTTGCAGGAATCCGCCACTGGCGACTCAGTTCATACCAGTTTCCCTTAAATGCAACATGACAGCCACAAATCCAAGGATGGGTCAAAACCTATCGGTACTAGATTTAGAGGGATGAAGGTAACAACGATTGACTCGCCGGCACCAGCGTACCAGGGTTTTGAACCACAAATATCTGGGCAATTTCTATACCCCGGGGCACGGCCATCCAAGTGGTGACCCCCGTTATGGGTGGATGGGCGGTTACCCGAATATTGGCACAGCTTTATCCTATCCCTATAAAGCTAAGCCCTGAACCGCACACCCAAAGTAAGTGGCACTAATCTGCCTGAGTACATCCGCACTAATATCCCTACTGCCTATATATAAATATTGTATCCATTATATCCCCACTAAATAAACCCATGATATCCCCAATAATTGTTCGTTTCATACTATAGCATCCCCCAAAAAAGATAGACAAGTTGAAACTTGGACATTATGGGGGCAACATAATCTTTTCTATCTTTTTGGGAGTTGCTATACGACTAAATCATGTTAAATCAGTGGTTAACTATCATTTCCCTACCATATATTTGGGCTATTCCCCATCCTCAGACACATCCAAAAAGTTGTGGTCGACTACATGTCCCCATTATGTGCCCATTGTCCCCAGTACTTGTTGGCTTAATACTCATCCCTTCCCCTTCATACTGAAACACTCCCAAGATATTCAGGGTGTATTTCATATCCCCACTCATAACCCTGTAAATAATTATGCCCCAATTATATATACCTATTACATTGTTCGTTTCATATATTATATAAATTATATGAAGAGTTAATCCCAGTATATCCCAATTATCCTTAGTGAAATCCCAGTGATATCCCGATCTTTTCCAACTTAAATCCACATGTTCTGATGGAAATCCCAATGTTTTTGCTAAATCCCAATTTTTCGATAGGGAAAACATCGGGGTTTCCCCCATGGTTTCCATTGTGCGCCCCCATGGTACGGCTCCTGGGATCTTTGCCATTCGTAGCGAGATCACGTCGCACTCTTCCTGCAGGCGATAGGAGTTGGCGACGTTCGTCACGATCGCGTCGAAGGACTTCAAGACTTCGTACCTGGGGGCCGTAAACACGGACGCCCTTTACGGGGGAAAAAGCTGATATGAACATGGGGATATTTCATGGGGATATAAGCAACAAATGGAAGAAAACTGAGGACAGGATATCAATCATTGTTATCATATCATATCATCCAAGATAATTCAGCGAATTGAGAGTTGGTTGATGAGTATCATGGGAAGATAAAGGGGTTGTAATGAGAATGCAAACAGCACATGGAATCCAACCACGAAATATGACAGCCTAAAAGGCACGGAACCCCCTGGGGGAAGACCGGCAGTTTCCGCTATGATTCAACGGCTTGGTTTTTCAGGGAACATCTGAAGCCGAAACCACGGTTTTTACCCCCAACTATTGGGTGTCAAGCAGATTTTCGAAGCTGATCCGATTCAGGGACTATGGCAACATTTGGAGTTACTGCATGAGTCAAACGAGGATTTACTCAAGAAAAGCAAGGGATTGATGATTGATCATCCCCAAAAAACACTGAAACGGGGCTTGAGGGTGCAGTTGAAGTTATACAACATGAGTACAACGGTATAATCATGCTGATTTCACCCTCATAAGTTTGCATAGGTGGCCCCAGCAACTTCCTGTGGCTAGGCACCCTGAAGAGTGGAACTGCACCACTTCTCCACCTCTGGTCGATTTTGGGGATGTTTACGCAGCCAACCAAAGGATCCAAGGTGCATCCAATCCCTGTTTTCCAGGCCCATTACTGCCGCATTGAAACAAAACATGTCGTCGAAGGTCGTGGGGACACTCTGGTTACCTTCAGAGACTGGCATAGGTACCCCCACTGACCATCACTCCGACGACGTCGAAGTACGGTCGTTATAGTTTGTTATAATTCAGCCAAATATGTGTATATATATATATATATTGTAGTGTATGTTGTAACAGGCAGGAAAAGGGAAAGAGAAAAGTTGAAACCTGGAAATCGTATGAACTCATAAAGTAAATCTCATCCAAAACATCCAGCATCAGATTTCTATCCTTTCGGGACCTCCTGTAGGCCATGTTGATCGCCTGCATGTGAACATGGGAATCTTGGACGATAGTCCGAGAACTTTGAGTGGTTAGACATCACTTTTAGTGGCATGGTATGGCATGATGCAACTTAGAACGACTTAGAACTTTGCAAATTAAAATCACTTGCAGTACTGGTTAAAACATGTTCGACCCACTTTTGACCGCTGGTTGCAATCCCTTACGCGACATGTATATCTTTGGGTATACCTGGGCACTGTCCTGCTTTGAACGTTCATCAGTTGCAAATGAGCCAACCCGCAGCAAGGGATTGTTGATCAACTGTGGGCTGACAATTGAATGGTGGGCCTGGGGTTACCCTCTGGTAAACTAACATAACTATGGAAAATCACCATTTTCAATGGGTAAATCAACTATTGGTGGTTTCAACCCCTCTGAAAAATATTATTCAGTTGGGATGATTATTCCCAATATATGGAAAAACAGAAACTGTTCTAAACCACCCACCAGAAATACGTTTATTGAGGTGTCAACCGTTTCCATTTTCCCTTCCAATTGAGTGTTCGCTACCATGTAGCGGTCAAATCCCCACAAACTGGCCGGTGAAATCCCAATAAAAGCGATGCAAATGCCCCCCAAAAAACCAATGAAATTCCAAAACATCCCATTGTGTTAAATCCCAATCCCAGAAACAAATCCATCCCAATCCCCCCAAAAATGGAAAACCCCATATTTACCACAGTCGATCGCCACCAAGACACCCAGTAGAGTTGTCTTTTGCGGTGCCTCCTCGGCGTGTGTGGTGGTCTGTTGTGTCGCCTGGGCGTCCGAATCGCCCACCTGGGCGAAGGCTAGGTGACAACAATTTTGTTCTATAACATGTCGGAATTTACTGGGATGCATTTTTTTAATTTCATGGGATTTATTGGTATTTAGTGGGGTATAATGGCATTTAATGGGATCTATTTGGATTTATTGGGGTTTAATGGGAATTTCATAGGATTTATTGAAAGTTATCGGGATTTAATATGATTTTACTAATTGCTAGATTAGATGGTTGACACCGGGAAAAGCACACAAAATGCCCAAATTTCAGAGCCATCCCTGGCGGTGCCTGGTTGCTGTGAATGGTTTGCATGTCCTCCTCTTGCTCCGCTGAGCCATCCTGGCCAGGGTCAAATTAACTGGGATCTACCGCAAAATGGTGGTAGAATGGGATTTACCAATGAACAAATATGTAAAAAGCCCGATTTTCATGGAGTTCTGATGAGATACTAATGGAATATCAATGACACATTCATGAGGATATAATGGGGATATACTTGGATACCACCGATAAAATTGTGTTGACCTCTGACCATTGAACAGTTTGCTATGCAAAAGCCACCGGTTTTAAGAGGTAGATCATCAAACTAACTGTAATTTTCCATGGCTATGTTCGATTACCCGAGAGTAGGTGCGAGGGTCAGTATTCAGCCGGTGAAAATGGGCATTCAAGTCTTGAACATAGTAATCCAAGCTGTGAACATGAGAATCTGACGTAATAATCATTGGAGTTTCATCGTGTTTCATTCCACATATCTAATTTTAAGCTCCAACCACAAGTACAACTTTTAAACCCTCACCCAACTGGCCATCACCATGAAAGATATGAAAGACTCAACACCAAGCGCATTTTCCAAGCGTCGGAATTGGCGATGGCCCAGCTGGAGGATAGAATCTGAAGCCTCTCTTTGAAGGTTTCCTTAGCATTTCTTGGGCGACACAACGGGGCTGTTTTTTTCTCCCGTTGATGTGCACCCCCCTGCTGTGTGGTTGAAAAGCAACGGTTTCATCAGTTGCACAAGGGATAAAGCTGCGAAAAAGCCAACTTATCTGGCTGAATTGTAAAATCAAATAGTTGAAATAAGGCCTCCTGTGGGGATGATTCGCCTTTCAATGCAAAAAAATCATCCAGAGTTCACTGAAGGCTATTGACCCCTTCCAAAGTGGCATATCCAAGTAGGATCCAACTACACACTGGTATTCCTGCAGCTAGGCAAGCAGTTTTCAGCAAACAGTCCCATGACTGGGTTGACCCTAGGACCCCTAGGGTCCTTTTTTTAGAGGATATCATCTTTTGCATTCGTGAGATTCAAACCTCAAAATAGCTATAATACTTACAATCCCTGCCCCAATTTCTTATACCCCTCAATCGACACCCTGGTGGAATGTATTGGATCTATTGAATCCATTCATTTTGTGTTCCCTGTTGGGGGGTATCTAACACTCCCCTCAGAGTCACTCCCAACTCCTCAGCAAAAGTGGCGTTTCAAGACTCACCTCCAATTCGTTTGGAGCAACCCTCTTTCATGGCAAAATCTCATAACATCCGCAAGTCCCCTTTCTGTTTAATACCCCATCCATATTATTCCATCAACATCCAAAAGATTCCAAACCCCCAGACATCGGCCACCCCAGCAATCGCACGTCGCGTAGAGCCCCAGCGTCTCGCACGTAGATCAAGCCTCCACCCACGTAGTTGAACATCTTCCTCAGACCTTCATATCCCAAGGTTGTGAGCCGCTCGCCTCTGTGATCCCCAATTGCCCATTGGGAGGCCCATTGGGGGGGGAACAAAACGGGATTTTAATGGATTTTAAAGATCAAAAGTGGAAATTCCATGAAATTCATCCCTTCACCCTGGTGGTCTGTTGGATGTTGGATCGATTTACTTTGGGCCCCTGATTGGGGACTATTTAACATTGCAGGGAAAGGAGTCCTAATCAATCGCGGTTGAGATCCCCATGATTGCTAAGCAACTGATACTTACCCGTTCCATCCGCATTTTTTTCATCTCCATTTTGGCTTCAAAATTGATGATGATAATCCATCATTAGCTTCAAGTAGTACAGCCCCCAAACACATCAACAACTATCCATAATCTATCCATCATGTATCAAATTCTATCCGTATGCCCCCGCATGGGTCGTTTTTCCCCGAAACAAAGTCATCCGCCACCGTCCAGCAACCCAGCTCCGCATTGAAGAATTCCAAGATCGCTTCCCGGAAGCATGCCACGCGTGGACCAGTGACCTGAGGCTGTTTAACCAGCAAAAACGGGATAAGATGTGTATATCACCAGCAAACATCTAGGGCCAGAATCCAGGGGCAAGTTGTGAGGTGGATTTCATGGACAGTTGGGTGAAGCTAAACCAAGCTCAGGATATCTCAGGATTGGCCGGGCACCAGTTGCATCAGTGGCTGGTAAAAAACTGTACGAATTTCACCTATTGATTTGCAGTACCCTCCTGTGATCAAGCATGGCAATGTTTGGCAATTTGCTATGGCTATGGAAAGTTTTACAATAATGGGAAACTCATCTATGACTGGTTGGTGGTTTCAACCCCTCTGAAAAATATTACTCAGTTGGGATTATTATTCCCAACATATGGGAAAATAAAACATGTTCCAAACCACCAACCAGATGAGGATTTTCCATTGCCTAGTTTATGACCAGGGAAATGTGGCCATTGTTTCATGGCCCGGACAGCTCCCCCACCGGGCCCTGGATCGCCTCTAGTTCCAAGTGCCGAAAGCCCAAGGTCTGCGCGGTGTTCGAACATGGCGGGTGCATGGTGCTGCATATTGGATGATTATCCTCTGGTAACCAAACGTGGCAATGGAAAATACCCTAATAAATCTTATAACTGGAATTAAATGATATTAAATGGATATTTTAATGGGAAGAATCATCTATCAATGGTCGATTTTACGATTGCCATGCTTGAGTACCGGAGGGTAGTTCATGTTTTCTTCGGGAGTTGAGGTAATTTTAAAGGAACATATCACGAGGCACAAATTCGCCTCTGCCGATGATAGTGCATATTAGAAATCATGGTTGAATGATGTTGAATGTCAAAAATACCAAGCATTGTCAGATTTACAGTAAATCCTGTGGTAAAGCTTTAATGAAGCATTTGTAGGATGATTCCCTACTATCGTGAAGGTGTGGTTGTGCAGTCGTAAGACGATCCCTTTCATCTCCCCGGATTCCGCAAGATTCTGCGGGTCCAACCTCCACAACCTGCTTGGCTTCTCTGCCATTTTGCAGTGAGAGAATGATCTGATGGATGCCTTTAAAAAACCGGCCAGCCAAGACCTTGGCGATTCGATGCTGACCCACAAAAAATGGGATGCTCGCAAGTGGTATCGAACATCCATCACCCATATAGAACTGGAGAGATTCCAATTTCACTGGGCTAATGTCATTTTTGAATCCCACCACCAAAAAAAATGGTTCCGCAAAGCCCGAGGCACTGCACGGGATGTCTTGAACAAATGCTGCAGGCTTGGCGCCGCCTCATAGAATGTGGTGAAGAGCGCATCCGCGGCCGCATCCTCTGAGTAGGTCTCTAGGAATGCATTCCTAAGGCGAAAGAATGGATGTTGTTCTTCAGACCCGCCCAGTTGCGAATTGTAAACGGAATGTTTGATTTGATCTATCTTTCTGTTGATCTAGATGACATTTTCTCTCAATCTTTCAAACATAAGGTATTTTCTCTAACAGATTACAGCACCAATATACCAGACATGACTTAAGATTCGGTGGATGGGGTAAGCTAACTATAACAATTATAGATTCGGCGGTTGCTGGAACTCTCCAAGGTGTCCCGTTGCTCCTGGGGGCCCGTGTCACCCAGCTCTCTGAATCTTGTGGAACATGGGGGAAAAACCCAATCTTTTTGAATAACAACCGATTGGAAAGTCCGACAGTACTATGGACCATAACTCTGGTGAGACCGTTTGGTACATTAACAGTTTGCCATGGAACATCATCCGTTTTAATAGGTAAACCCATGGTAAATCATCTAACTTGATGGGGCATCCAGCAGCAAAGTGGTAGGCATTCGTCAAGGCTCCAGGCCCCAAGGACTTCCAGAGCTTGTTCAGTTGGCATGCTCAACCTCGCTGATCTGTAGCTTCCAGGCTCCCATGTCAAAGGAAATTTCAGGACCCTTTAGATGGCAATTTAGGTACCTGAAATGGCCATTGACTATGTTTCTTGCCCTAGATCATGAAAGTATGATCATCTTAAGATAAGGGTGAAGACCAGTGTGATATAGATTATCCAAGGGCAATTGCGTGTCCAAAGTTTTGATCCTACATCCACTTGGGGATAGGTTCAGCCTTCAAGTCATTCATTCAGCTTTGTCAGTGCTGAACACCTTACTTGTGCTTAGTAGGGAACGAGGGAATGATCCACAATAACTATCAATAATAATCCCACTCCCCCATTCCCCCATTCCCATCCATTCCCTACTAAGCACCAGTAAGTTTTGCTTAAGCTTATCATTGCTCGAAGTGTGAGTTGGATGGCCTCCACTCGAGTTATCCCAATTTCAGGTAAGGGAATCGAACATGCCGATAGACATCTTTCTCGACACTTGCCCGTTGACAGATGAACATTTCCTGTGAAATTGCTGGGGGAAGCGGCGTTACAACGGTTACAGCATGTTACAACACTTTCAAGTGGGACATGTTATATATATATGTATGTATGTTAGACAACGCTATATACATATACATGTCAGGACCGCTCTATTGTTTTTACCACGCCAGGTGGGTTTGTACTGATGTCTTTCCATCAGTAGGAAAAGGAAGGCCTAGCATCGTCCACCCTGCGCACCACAGGGGGCCTCTGCCATCACAGAGGTGTATGCATGCACCTAGTCCCTCGTGTTTTGTCAAGGGAATTAAAGTACTACCCTCCTTTTCGCCCCAGTCGCAACGAAGCCACCAGGGTTGTGGAGGGAGGGAGAGAACAGCTACAGAAGGAAGACGGCATGTCCAAAACTCAGTCATGACATGCAACCAGCTTCCCCTTACATGAATTCCAGGGTCCACATATTTCCATGTCAGGACCGCTCTATTGTTTTTACCACGCCAGGTGGGTTTGTACTGATGTCTTTCCATCAGTAGGAAAAGGAAGGCCTAGCATCGTCCACCCTGCGCACCACAGGGGGCCTCTGCCATCACAGAGGTGTATGCATGCACCTAGTCCCTCGTGTTTTGTCAAGGGAATTAAAGTACTACCCTCCTTTCCTTTTCACGTTACCTTCCTGGCTACGCCGTCAAGCTGTCATGTAACTTTGTAATGGCTGCCCTTGCTAACCCTTTTTGTGAAGAGCTCAGCTGTAGTTCTGTCACCATAGCTGTGGCATCTTGCAAGTACAACCTTGCAGATGATGTGGATTGCCACCTTCCACGGAGCAGCGTTCTTTCCATAGATTGATGCTGAAGAAAATCCCAGCTCGCTCCTCCTCTCCTGAGAGAATAAACTGTGATCAGGCCGTCCAGCTCGAAAAGGTCAACAAGGGAGTTAAAAATGCTTCTGAAGACCCGTTGACCCCGTGCAAGCAGGAAGTCCTTACGAGGCCTGCCAGCACAGGCCTTCTTCAAACTTGCAATAGCCAAAGGGCTTTCAACGACAACCATCTCCGCTGTGTTGTTTCTTTTTCCAGTCTTTGTATAGCCTAGCGACAGCACGGCTCGAGCACCGTAGAAACTGATATCTTTGATCTTCAGCTGGTATAGTTCGCCACTTCGCAGCATTGTGTCGAAGGCTACCAGCATTCCACACGCTTCTGGCAGGAAGCCGAGACCCAGGGCCGCACCTGCCATGGCCTTCACCATGGTGGGGCTGAGGGGTAACACTCGGCGTGGTGGCTCAAGCTTCTGCCACACTTTTGCCAGCTTCCACGAGTGCTTCAAGCGGCCAAGCGCGGCAGGCAAATAAAACTGCAACCCTGCCAGCCCATCACTGGCAAGGGTTTTGTGGCACCCGTCATGGTAGATGTATTCTACCCACTTGGACGCCAGCTCGTCCAAATCTTCCCAATGATGGACCACGTAGTTGAAGTCTTTGGCAAAGTCAAGGAATTGTGTCACACTCTTTTCGTACCTTTCCAGCATGCCACTGGATACCATCTTTCCTTTTAGCGTAAACTTGGATCTTTCGGCTTTTCTGGCTTCTTTCTCGGTTTGGCTTTGTCTTCTGCCCATCTTGATGGGATGTCTGAGGGGTTATCCCTCGTGTCAATGTATCCTACCGCCACCACGGTACCACTGGCCACCACCAGCGCTGAATACTTTGACACTCCCACCTGCAGCTTAAAGCTGCTAGTTCTTCCTTTAGCCAAAATGGCTGCGACCACTTGCGAATCAACCAGATGTAGGATACGATGACCAGACCTGCATGCCTTACGTAACCTCCATCGCAAACCATTTAGCACTGCCTGCAGTTCTAAACCATTGATGTGTGCTTTTTGCTGCCACGAATACCCATGTACAATGGACCAGTTAAAGAGACGTGACCTCAGCCCTGATCTTGGCCATGCTTTCATTCTATAGAGAACATTGGTATCCAACCTAACGTCAGTGCCACCCCTCTCACCGTGGCGAAGTATGTGACTAACCAAAGTTTGAACTTTTGGGCATTCGAAAGAACCACTGACAAATTGTAGGTATTTCGTCCACCCTTCAGGAGCAACCCCTGAAATGCGAACCAGTTGCTGAGGGCATCGTTTTGTCTGGGCACCGTGCTGACGCAGGCACTCATGCAGAAGCATGATGAGGGAGTACACGTTGAAGGTGTTGCCTATCATCTGCCCCCCTATAAGTTCTTTTTGGGATGCCGTGGCCTTTGAACCAAAGCTACTGGAGACATACCCGCGGTCAAAACCCATCACTCTTTCTTTTTCTACAAGGCTTGGAAGGCGAAGGTTACCTTCTGGAGTCGTGATCATGTTGTGCTCCTCATAGTTGTAAACTTGAATGAAGTATGAGTCATCCTTCCATCTTTCAAGGGCTGCTGCTGAGGCAGTCTCCACCCCTGCAGGCTTGTAGGGCGGTCGTTGTCTTCGCTTTGGCCTTGTGAAAGTTGGCAAATGCCCCGGTGCTTTGGGAGTCCACGTGCGCCCCGGTTCTAGCCACTCACTAGCCGGCCCTCTCACGCACGGAAACACCCACTTCCACCATAAGCCCATGTCTTCAAGAACTTCTGTCCCTTGCGCTTCTACCTTCCAGCTAGGCCAATATAACCGTGGCCGACGGCAGTGACAGAAATGGTGGGCATCCAAAAAAATCGGCTTGACGCCCAAAACATCTGAGAACTGTTCCACATTGTCTGCTGTCATACTGGCCACGTTTTCAACAAAATACTCCACTGGCACCTCAAAATGAGACTTCACCAGCCCAATGATCCGGGGTACTTCGAAGAAAAGCCGTGATCTTTCTCCTTCTAAACCTCTTCCAGCTGCATTCAAACCACTGAGATCTTGGCATGGCGACCCCGCACCAACGAGGATAAGGTCGACTTTGTAACCCACTGATGCTACGAGGTGCTCCATGAGGTTTGCATCTACTTTTGTAACATCGCCAAGTTCCAAAACTCCAGGCCAACGTGTACGTGTCAGCCGCTTGCATGCCTTGTCCACTTCGCAAGAGACATATCCGACTATTTGGCAGTCTAACCTGGCCAACGCGACCATCATAGCACCAATGCCGTCGAACAGCGAGATGACCAGCACACGGGGGCCAGACTTCGTGCGATCGATTGAGCAGCTGCCTGCTGGTGTGAAGGACACCTTCTCACGATCAGGCCCCTTCTCCTCCAAGCTCCTGAGCGTCATGAGTCCTTCCGGTGTCAGCCCTGCACTGGCACATAGTCCTCCACCTTGTTCTGAAGCGTCTGAGCACGTTACCAGCCCACTCACTGGTGTGAACAAGTTGCTTACCGCCATTGGCAGCATCAGCACGCCTATTGCAGCTATCAGCTCCAGTATCGTCCTCTGCGACAAAGGGCGGCACACCACCGCCTTGTGCTTTGGCCAGGCCCGGTTCAGGATGGACATCAGGGGGCGCCTAAACTCAAACGCCCTTGTAAGGCGCCCCAAAATCATCATCAGCACCTTCTGGCGACAAAGTTTTCTTTGAAGGGCCCACATCACAAAATAGCCACACTCCAGCTTCTTTGTAATGGGGACACCAAGCCAGCCCCCTTGGCCATCTATCTCAGCTCCCATGCGCTCAACACGCACTTCTCGTACATGTGCTTTGTCCTTGGATATCTGCACTCCAAACTTGTCATAGGCGGCCCTTTGCTTTGAGTGCTTTAAGGAAATAGTACCCTTAAGCTGGGACACCATCTCTCTAGGCACGACCTCCGGGCAGTCGAAGTCATCCAAGTAGAATGACACCCAGCCCCCCTCGCACTTCGTAGCACTGGTTGGCACAGGTCGATCTCTTCGCATCTCTGTGCACCCCTCTAGGCCAGCACCTAGGGGTTCTGTTTGAAGCCCTATACGTCGATGAAGATGCTGAAAGAGGGAGACTGAGTTGATCCATCCCATCGGTATCACTTTTGCTGCTAACCAAACTTCTTTCTTTTCTGGCATCCCCACAAACTTTCCTTCAACAGGCCATTTGAAGGCCATCAGCTTTCTCCATTGGGGAGGCAAGCACCACGCATAGAAAGCGCCTTTCTGATCATCCCCTGACCAAAGCAATGCTGAGCCAACAGGCAGCTGACACCCAGCCCAGTGGCTTGCAGCAGCCAGGGTATCAAGGTCTCCCTGCTTTAGATACTGCAGCGCATTCGACGGAGTCAAGTTCATTATAAGCCTCGTGACTCTTTCTTCGCCAGGGGCGGGAGTGCCCTTCTTCAAAACGCAGAAAAGTCCGTTCAACACTGGCTCACCACCAGCCCTATAGATCTCGTCATATTCGATGGGAGTCAGAATGTTTCGCGCCACCAAGGTCGAGGCTATCTCGTTCCAGTCTTCACGCTTGACATTCATCGAAGCCTTTGGCAGAGGATTAGGCCAATCTTCTTGAGGCCTGATGCACGCTTCGGGGTTGTTCAGCCAACACTGAACTTCCTCACTTGCAACTGCGGCCGCATCCAATGAACCAGCCACCGCACCGTCTGGAAGTCCAGGCAAGAGTTCACCTAGGCGCAGCGGCAGTGCATGAGATATTTCCTCCCCCGTATAATCAACACCTTTCATCCTCACCAGCTCGTGAAAATCCACTGGCCCTAGTTCTTTGAGGGGGTCTTGGCAAAAGTAGTTGCAACACTTCTCAATGTTGTCCCGGGCTTTCATCTGAGAGGGGGTGTGGTTTTCCCAACTATCAAAAATAGGACCTTTCCACCCCAAGTACTGCCCATTCAGGATAGCCGTAGAGTTGAAACGCCAAACTTGTGAGCAAGCCCTCAACAGCAGATGTTTCCTTTGTTGTTTTGGGATAGACCTCAACTTTTCAACCTCAACCACGATGAAACCATTTGGTGAAGGTGTGAACATCTTGATAACTTTCATTGCAGCCCCCACAGACGACAACGGCAATGGTAGCACATCCCTTTGTCGCCGGCTTGGCGTGGCAAAAGATTCAACCTGAGTTTTGCCTCACGTGGCATGGAGAGGAGGAGCTGCATCACACTGATTCCCAATTGTAAAACACTCAGACCAGTAAATTCACTGTACAAAAAAGACACCTTCCTTTGAAAATCGTCCCACGAGTCACAACAAATTGCCATGAGCTCCCAAAGCTGTTGAAACATGATGTCCCCCTCGTCTGTACAGAGAGGACCCTTTTGGAAAAACTTTCCTGGGGATTTTCCCAGGGCTGCATCCTCAGGAGCCACCACTCCCGGGAGCATCTTCCTTTTCTTCATGCGCCCTGCTTCCGGCCCTTCAGGTGGTCGAACACCCTGTTCTTCCATGCTGCACGGCTCTCCCCAGGCAACCTGGGAACTTCGGTACGCGCCTTGGCCACTGGACCCTGCTTCTTCTTTGGCGCTGGATCTTCCGGGCTTCTTGCCCTCATAGGAATCTCCTTCACCAGCTCCCCACCAATCTCGTCGTTGAACACTGCTTTTCTGATAGCTCCTTGGCGAGGACGTTGCAGAGGTGACCTCGAGCGCTCTCTTTTGACTTCTTCTTCTTCTTCTTCTTTGGGGTGGCGCTGAGGGGGAGGACTTGTCAATCGTCTCTCCCCCCCGCCGAGTCCCTAGCACTTGCGCCCCTGGGCCTGGCGCAGCAAATCCTCAGACTTGGCCTCTTTCAAAGCCATCTCCTTTGCAAAGGCCGTCTCAGCAAGGTTCGATCCATAGCCGTACAACAGGTCATCAGGCAGGAGCTCGATCTGCGGCCCAAACTTGTCGCTGTTGTCTCGGACCTGCATGCATAGGGATTTGAACCTCTGTAAGAGGACGTCCCCACAGGAATCCGACTTGCCCTTGAGCAGCATGTCCACTGCCAATGCGACTGTGCGCATTTCACGCAGCGACTGCCCTGGGAAGTTCTTCGGCCCAATGGCTGGGATGATAACCGTCAGGAGGTATCTGGTTACCACAGGGCTGAGCTTTGCCTCCTCTTCTTGGCAATCTCCAAAGCTTGCGCCCAGCTGCACCTGCATATTCTCAAGGGCGCTCATCATCAACTTCCCAGGGGTGTTTTCGGCAATCTTCTTATATTTCTTCTTTCTTTCCTCCCAACCGCCACCACGGTCAGGGCTCGGGTCAGCACCCAGCACATCACTGGACTCCTCCGAGGACTCCCTTGAGTCATCCTTCGACTTGCGCTTACCTCTCATTGCCTTTGTAAGCTCCTTCAAGACCTTTCCAGAAGACGATTTCCTCTTCTTTTTCTTCTTGACACCAACGACTTCAGTGGCACGCTTGGCAAGGATGTTTCCCGGCCTCTTTGACCCACTTGCCTCGGCCTGTGTTTTCCCTCGAAGCTTCTGTCGTAGGGCGTCCAACTTGTCCTCCAATCCTCGCTTGGAAGAATCATCAGGTTCTTGGTCCAACATCACATCCAAGGCAGTGCGGCCTCGGTCACCTTCTCCAGCCTTGAGTGCCCCACGACGAATCTTTTCCTCCTTCGTTCTAGGAGGGGTATCAACCCGATCTTCACTTTCATCAGGGGACCTACGGCGTCTTCTGGGCAACTCAGGTTGGGACTTTGACTTTGGAGTGGCCCCCACATGCTCGGCATCCTCTTCCTCATCATCATCGTCTTCATCTTTTGCCCCCCGCGGTCCCTCATCACCAGCACGTTCGCTGGCTGGGACGGCTAATCCTGGGAACCCCCAAGAAACGAGGAGCTGGTGGGCTTCTTGACGTTCAACAGGGCCCAACGTCGCACATGTATGACCTCTCCAGCATTGACTTTGGCTTTGCACTGTTTGGCATCTACCTTGCAAAAGTGGTGCAAGGCTCCTTCAGGCAGACCCCCAGCACGCCCCTCATTCTCGATGTACCACTGGTAGTGCTCGTTGTTGCATCCAAGGTATCGCAACCTAATGAAGGCACCCCCTTCATCAGGAAGGAATCTTCCTTTGGCCTCTGCAATTGCCTGTCCTATTCCTTTGTATTTATCGTCACAAACTTCGATCAGGTAGTGGTTCACTGCTGCGTAGTACATCGACTGAAAGGTGACACCTGAGACATGCACCCCGTCCACCAATTTGATGCCCGTTCCTTCTTTGTCCTTTCGTCTTCTGGACATTCTTTCTCTTGCACAGCCCAACCCCTGCCACCACAGGGGATTTACAGGCTGCCTCTGTCTCTTTCCGCTTTCTGCCCCAGCCAGCACTGGGGAAGCTGAGCTCTTCACTCTTGAGAGAGAACAGCTACAGAAGGAAGACGGCATGTCCAAAACTCAGTCATGACATGCAACCAGCTTCCCCTTACATGAATTCCAGGGTCCACATATTTCCATGTATTATGAATAACTTTATATATATATAGAGTAACCCCTGTGGAACAACTATTTTTTTTTCAGATGTTACTTTTCTGTCTTTGTGGGGATTTGCTACAAATGATTTGGAGATTGTCAATACGACCCAACTATTCTGAATCTATGCCACCGGTAACTCGTACCCCACCATTTTTGCTTCCCATTACCACCGTTCATAAGGATTTCAAACCGGGTTGGTAGACACAGGCACAAATCAAGCAAAAGGCCGGTTCAATGGATAATGTATTTGACTTTTCAGCACATGGACCCGGTTTGAACCCTGCTTCTCCTCAACCTGTCATCATAATTTTGGAGGTTGAATGCGCCCACCACCCTTCATCCCCAATCATTACATGTTCCAATCATATGTTTTGGTGGCATGAACACATCTCATTTTTTTTGGTGACTGAGTGTTGGCAGATGTCGGCTGTGAAATGCCCTTCCCTTTATCCACTCACCGCATTTCTGTTGGTTAAATCATGCTAAATCAAATCCCAATTTTTGTGAGGTTAGATTTCCCTTTGTTATCACCTTCATCACCCTTCATCACACATCATCACCCTTCCTCGCCCCCCAAACCACTGGAAATCCCCTGGTTTCGGTAGTGAAACGCCCTTGCCACCTGAAATTTAACCCCGAGATCTCCGTTTTCCATTTTTTTGCACCATGCTTCAAATGGCACATCCCCCCCCATTCTTCATTTTCTACAAAACCCTTGAAATCCCCAAAGCTCAGCGCCCCCAAGCCCCCAACCGGGCCACTTCTCCAGGGACGACGTGTGCACCTCATCGCCAGTGGCCTCAGGCGCCTCAACCTCGAAGCCCAAGGACTCCGCCTCGCTGCCCTCGGAAGCCTCGGAAGCCACCGCCGTGGCCGAGGCTTGGTGGAGCGACTGGAGATAGCCTCGGGGTCAGCTGGCCGTGGGGAACTGCTGGAGATGGCGATTTCAATAAGAAATTCCATGAAGTTCTCGAAGGCAGGGGGCGGGGCAGCGAAAAATTGAGAGTTGAAGCAACAAATTGGGGATTTCACGAAGAATGTGTTGGGATTTTCTTCGAGAAAACATGGTTTCAGCTGTCAAATAGGTAGTGAAGCAACAAAAAAAATGAAGACTTCCAAATTGGACATTGAAGCACACAAAATGAATATTGAGCCTTAAAAAATATACGGGGGGTGCAGCAAACAATTTAAATGGGAGCTGGTCAACTAACCACATCAGAGGAATATTGCCACAAACTTTGTGGGCAAGTTCAGACATCTTTTGGGGAAGCAGAACAAGAAACCGCAAGAGATACTTGGGGGTATTGATGAAGAAACGGGAGTGTATTCACCAAGGAAATTCAGGTTGTCTACTAGCAAAATAGATGCCACCCAACAAACTCCGACGAACATGCAGATCTTGCAAACATAGTCGTCCAGAATTCGCGGTTTAGAGTCTAGAGCCTTTTTTTGAGGCTGTGTGTGATCCTTGGAACAATTTTAGTGGTGTATTCCTACATTTAGGGGGCAGATTCCAAGATATTCCAAGTATCCAATCCGCATCAACAATCAAGCGCTGAGAACAAATTAGCAACTAAAATGGTGGCGCAGGGTCGGCACATCGCCCCAGCGATGGAAACAGAACATCAAACCGCCAAAATCATCATCGATCATCATTGGTTGCCCGTGATATCCCCATTGAAATGGCCACTCCGAGACCCAGAAACGCGTCACGCGTTCATCCTTAGCCAAGACGGAGGTCAGGAGGGAGATGGCTGAGTCCTGGGCGAGTCGTAGGATTTACCGCCAAAAATCGTGGATTCAAACATCACACATGTGGGCTTCGTATGACTTCGTCAGTTTCACCAACCAAAACGTGGAGAAAACCACCACACATGTGGATTTGAGCATCAAACTCAGACATCATTCGCATTTAGCGAAGAAACATGTGGGGGGGTTCAAAAAAAGGGAACCCCATGACCCCACTCACAAAACAACTTTATAAGATCCAAGAGTACCATTTCAGATTGAATCCTATTTTTGGTTCCTAATCGATGCCCCTAAATCATCATACATGTCAATTGTGAAGGGTATTTCAAAACCAAAAGGCAGCACAGGTGAACATTATTATCCCTAGCCGCCATTAAAAGATATCATAAGCAAAACGCACAAACTTAATTATAGGACCCATTATAGTCCCAAATCAGGTTGTAGCATCCATAATTTCATCGAGGTCCTGCAAAACAAATATGCTCGTCACCTCAACCAATCATCCCTTTTGTCTGGTTGAAACATACGAAACATATGAGCCCCCCAGTTATGACAGTTCTGATAAATCACACTTTTTTCGACCTTGTCAGATGTCTTCCAAGATGAGTCACCAGCATAAACCATACATTTAAACAATCCGAAAGGAAAAACCCAAAGATTTCATGGCGTCTCCGATCACTTCAGGCTACTCAAACATGGTTAACATGGTTTGCTGGACCCTCCATTTACTTCGATGACTTCGCCATGGAACATCCATTGAGTTCGGACTTGTTGTAAACCCCCAATCAATGGACTGGTTTAAGGGAAAACTTCAGGATCACCCTATATTTCATGGTAAAAACAATGATTTCCTGTAGGTTATCCATAAAAAAACAATCAATCGACCCAAGGAACACCCCATGAATTTCACGAAGAAAGCGTCCATTTTCTCCTCCAGCGGCGCCTTTGACTTCTTCACCGCCTCCGCCAACAAGTCCACCAAACCATCCGTGGAGATGCTGGACAACTCCCAGTGGGTCGTGGTAAAGGATGGGTCCAACACATCCTGCCGTCGAAATTTCATGTTTTTGAGGGTTTTCACCAGGTGAAATGGCATTTTCATGAGAAAATTGCAAAAACTTAATTGGTTTAATAGGAAATTGAAATTCAAATGGTGGGTTTTAATGGGATCACTTTGGCTTTATTGGGATTTAATCGGATTTTTTGTGGGGCATTTGATTGTAATTCTACGGGGTGTAGTTGGTGGTAATATGTCAATAGTTACATGTTTAAATGTGGTTCTCATAGATTTTCACGTGTAATCTGGTAAACCCAATAAGTTTCCCATTCAGGGTAAACTTGATGAAATCAGAGATGGTTTATATGCTATTTTGCCACGTTGGTTCGGTTTACTTACCCAATCTAATGGAAACAGGCCAGTTATTACCATAGATTTTCTCATTAAGTTCCGGTAAAACCCAATAAATCGCACTTGGCAGGATAATATTAAGCCTCTGTCTGTGGGTCAGAGCTCTAGCTGCATGTAAGGCGAGGAAAGCTACAACCGAAGATCGACACAGCAAGAATAAGCAGAATGGCCTGATGCAAACTCATAAGTACAAACTTACTGTACAGTTTGCGATATCGGGCTAACTATGTGTAAATATGCCTTTGGAAGTCGTGAGCTGGTTTGTCACCACACTTCATGTCACCTGACCACCGATTGGGATTGAAGCACGAGCGAGGAGACCGCCCTTACCAGTAAGTCGTGGAGAATGGAACGCACATGGTGCTTTTGCCAACCGACCATTAGGTATCTGATTGATTTAACCATCAAACAAATCGAACTTTGGAAATCCAAGCTCCAATACAATGGACAGCTAATGCAATCCATAATCGACATCGAGAACGACATGCAATCGGAACATCATGTAGACATTCAGGTTTCTTCGCCATCGCCCTGATTGCGCACCGTTCAACCCCCATGCCATCGATGGGTCCAGGCCGGTCCTCCAACCATGTTCTCAGCTCTGCATCGATGTCCTCCTCACCTTACAGATGCTGAGGCGTAGAGTCTCTGAAGAAAGGTCGGATTTCATGCGATTTCTGGAGATGTATGATACCCTAGGGTAAATTAACATAAGATGTGGAAAACCAATGATTTCCCTAGGAACATGATCTACAAATGCTGGGTTTTCCACATCTTTACAGCAGGATAAATCACAAGATCTAGTGCCATTTTTTCTGATGGCTTCCCCAAGATGAATGATGACCAGTCGTGCAGAGGTCATCTGAAGTCTCCTGCCCAATGATCCCACATCGATGAGATTGGTATGGCTCAGCCGGTAAGGGAAGACCCACTGCAACTCATGTCTTTTTGGGTTGGTTGGAATTTCTAGCCCTTTTCTCTTCAACCAACTCTGGGTCACATGTGTCAAGGTTTCCAGGACCCTGAGGCGAAGATTGGATGACTTGCTGCGCTGGTTTTCGTTTTTTTTTTCGAATGATCACCCCAAGTTTGCATCATTGATGGGGCTTTGTTGGTCAATGAGATCGCTATGATCATGTCTAAGCTGAGGTCTCAGGCAAACAACAGTTATCTGCGGTAACCTCATCATTTTTACACAATCCTATCTTTATAGCTTACCCAGTTCTTTGGATGATGAAATCCACATTGTTGATGGTGAAGTTAAATACTGATTATTGATTGTTATTGACCACTCACTAAATATTTTTCTTATCAATAAATGATCAGTTAGCCATCCACATGCACACACACACATCCAGACGTCTATTATGTTCCCATTTTTTGCCATTGATCAAATCCTAATCGCTTATGGTTGTTGATGATAATCATGATAAATATACCTATTTTGGATGATGACATCCAAATTCCTGCCTGATGGCTAAACTTCATTTTTTGTTGCGCAGATTCCGTTTTTGCCTCATCTTTTGCTGTGTATATATATATATATTTACATATATATATATATGTATAACACATTTATGTCATTTATAACCATTTACAAATCCAAACTTTTGGGGCTGTATTCCGACATTTTTTTCCCCAAGGAACTTCCAGCTTCGAGTGCTGCTTCAGTGCGCTGATCTCCGGCCAGCGCCTGGTAGATGCTCTCGGCCACCTTTTTCGACCAGCGGGGTGCAAAGCTGGGGGCTATATCATGCTATATCAATATACCTGCCCGCTGCCCTCTGGTAAACATAGCTATTGAAAGTGACCATTTAGAGCTATGTCGGAAACCCTATGAATCGGCATTTCCCAAAGGACTGGCGGCTTTCACCTCCTGAAATCTGACTGGTAATCATCCCTCTCTGCAAGTGGTTAGTATCTAAGCATATCTATCTATGTATATGCATGGATACGGTAACACCCAAAACGATAGAAATGTAATCCATCACCTTTTTTTACGAATCGGAATTTACATTTCTTTCTTGCCGGGGGCGAAATATGCGCGTATATGTACTGAAAATCAAGCGGTTAGAGATTCTTAGAGGATCTTAGAGGTACATCTTGTCATTGTGACACTGAGACAGGGGGATGATGAAATGAAATCGGCAAGGAACAGCTTCCACGGATTCTTCTCGGCTCATGGTCGCTCATGGCATCCGGCGCTGGCGACCAACGGGTGAAACTTCTTCGGTTTCATGGCTTGGGCCATGTGGCTGCGGGCCAATGGTCAAGCGGGGGGCTGCTGTCAAGGAACTTCAATGGACTTGACGGAGCCTGGGTGTGTAAGCTGGGAAGTGTCAAATCCACCAATCTTTTGAAAAGAAACGGAATTGGGCAGATCCTGCAGCTTCAAACAAAACACCGCGCGGTTTATTTTCATGCAGGGTGGTTTCAAAGCTTCTACATCATGCTAGATTGCTTCAGCATGTCGTGGAAAGAGATAAGCCAAAACAAGGTAAGGAAGGTCACCTGCCAATGAACACCAAAGCGAAATTACCTTTCTGCAGCAGGGACGGAAACTTGCTTCAACATCGAATTTATCAACATGCACCAAGTCTATCAGCTATTGTTTTTTTCCATGAAATCCATTGTATAGGTTGTCACGCCCCCTTGTGAACCGGACCCCTGCTGCAAACAAGTGCTGGTTTGTGGTAAGTATCTGCCTGGAAATGTGGGTCGGGTGAGATTTTCCCAAATTGGTCGAACAAAAAATAAACCATGACATGCTGTGGGTCAAAACCCTGGTGCCATCCTGTTCAGCCCCAAAACGCTGGGATTTTGCGGATGTTGACCTCCAAGTAACCATACAATCATATATATATATATGTATATATATATTATGCATATCTAAAAACAATGTATTTCACAAAAACTTGACATATCCTGAAATTTCAAGGTCAACCCAAAACCACGAGCTATAAAATTATTGCAATCGCATTGTTAAGGCTGCAGCCGCTAAAGGTCACTGCCTGAGCTCTTAACTCTTAACACCCTTGAATTGTCCCATCGGATCGGTTTACGGGAAAGCTGAGAATAATGATATTCTACTTCATAGAAAAGCCAATGGTTTCCTCAAAAAAATCTGGACGTTGGCGCTCTGAACCCCTTTGAAAAATGTAAGTCAATTGGGATTCTCATATCGCATGAACCAACCCATGATTTCGCCGCTGGTACCCCCGCACATGCTGAGACCCCTGGCGTTGGGAGCCAAGGGCAACGAATCCAGGTGGGGCTGAAGGCACTGAGCTGCACCAAGCAACTTGAACTTGATCCTGCGAAGCGTCTCAACTTGGAGGTGCCAATTTGGCAACTCAATTGGGTATCTGGTCAATGCAAACGATAAACATGCAAACATATGATGACATATGTGTAGAATAAAATGCACATACAGTAGCTTCTCCAATTTATTGATCTATATAGCCATGGTTCTTCACGACATACCAAATCAGATGTGCATCAAAGAAGGGGCAACAGATGGGGGTGCATCCGGGGGCCGTTTGGTGCACCAAGAAAAATGATCCACCTGTTGGTTGTGAAGCACCTATTACTAAGTATGAACTATGTGGGAAAAGGAACAGCCAACACTAGTGACATCACCAGAAAATGTGGATCTAATCAACGCCAAGGTGGGCTGGATGTTGCTAGCAAGAAGCCCGCATATAACCTACGATCATAGGGCTTGAAGGGAAGATATACGGGTGTAACCAAGGACGCCGGGGATTCGTTGAGATCAGTGGATCTTCCGGGATGAAATCCAACATGGAATCCCGAGAAGTTGCTCGGCACCGGAAGATAATTTTCATACAGGTCATTTCATGCTGCAAAGGGACCTGAAAAAAAGAAATTGGGCATCCAAATGTCCACAGGCTGGAGGTCACTTCTGCCGTTCTCATATGCTGCGTCAAGGCGTCAGTAGACTGGCTGGTGAACAAACAAATCTAAAGAGGCATGAAACATGTGCGAAGGGCATCTGTCACAACTCAGTGACTAGAAGGGAACTGGTGAACTTGCAACACATGTCCTGGCCGGATGCCATGACATGAATTGCGCAACTAGCTGATTGTGGAACATCAACCTTTTTCAGCGAAGGGCTGAGATGAAGACCTCTTAGCCTCTTGAAGGGCCCCTACAGTTTACACACCAATCCAACTTTAGATAAACAGATAGATGGAAAAATAGATAGCTAGATAGGTAGCTAGATTAGATTTGATTTCGTTAGCTCAGGTTGGATTAGATTAGACAAAGAGTACGATATGTTTATCTGGTTGGTGGTTTCACTGAAAAATATGAGTTCGTAAGTTAGGATGATTATTCTCAATATATGGAAAAATAAAATTCATGTTCCAAAGCAAGCACCAACCAGTTTATGTTTAGCAAAGAATCCCACTTCTTCGATGTACACCAGCTGATCTAGGGGGGCCCCGATTCCAACGCTTCCAAGGCCGGTGCAGTGATTTCGATCTGAAACCATGAAGATGCAATCATCGTTTTGGTGTAAGACAAACATCTGACACACATTTTGAACCATTCCTAAATGAGATCAACTTGGATCTGTAACTTTTTGCCAAGTATCCAAGGTGCCATTGCGGACTGTGAGCAGCTGGGTGGTTGTCCCCCCAAACATTACCCGCCTTTGTGGTGGAACGCGCCGCCATGCATTCATATCATCTTAACTTCTATGCAACATCTCAATACGAATTGCACATGTTCCTGTTTTCTGCGTCATCCCATCACCTCAGCGTTTTCATGCCCTCCTGTCCCAAGCAAAATCGCTTGGACACGTGCTTCTTTCCAAAGCCGCCGGTCCAGGATGCATCAGGATCATCCTTCACCATCCTGGAAAACCCGCCCTGTCCTCTGTGCATGTGGCACCCCCCACCTCGGATGGACAAGGCGTAGCCCTGGAAGAGGGATTGATTTTTACCTGGGCAAACCTGCGGAGGACCAAATGCCGCTGTTTCAAGGCAGTCTTATCCCTTGGAGTTGACAAGGTGGCAGGATGATCATGAGAATGCGCGGCTCATGAATGGGGCAATTGGGTCTAGTTCATATTCCGAGAGACGGGCCCTGTCTCACATTAACGCCTAGTTGGGGTGTTGGAAAGGATCTCCTCAAATAAGCGGGCTGGAAGCACTGGAGCCACGGTATCGCCACAAGAATGGCAATATACTGTATATGATTACATGTGTAATTAGATACATATATATATATATATATATCACCAGCGTCCTCATTGCTGACGCCGCCACCCTCGCCGGTGGCATCC